TGCCCGAGCAACTCAGAGCAAACACGGAATGTGTCCTTGTAGCAGCTGTTGCTGTGGGTCACAGAGACTATGGGCAGAATTGCCCATAGTCCTGTCATAGGAAGGCCACTGCTGACCTTGATGGGCGGGCACTGTTCCACCAGGGTGCTGGGAACGGAACTCTAAGCCTTACCCATTTTGGTGATGGCTCGTCATTCCCAGGAAATCCTGCTGGTACACTCATAAAGTTCAAGGTTTAAAACAAAGCGCACCGAATGAATGAGTGAATGGATGAGTGAGGCCAACCTTCCCAGCCCTGGTGAAGAGGTTTCTGGACTGAGAGGTTCTACCTGACTCGCACAGGTGAGAACTTGGAACCCAGCGTGGGCCAGACAAGGCGGGCAGCAGGTTTGCAGAGAGCTGCCTTCGCGGGTTGGGGTTTGTTTATGCCGGGGTGTGGGCCTCTTACATAACCAGTCAAGTAGGCCCTGTTTCCCTTCAAGCTACCAGGCCCTCGGCTTCTAAAGGGAGAGTTCAATTACATCAGAAACCAGGTTGCTGAAGTCCAGTCTGGTCTGTGAATACATTGCTTCCTGCCAGCTTTGTAGTGATTATAAACCTCAAAGAGAAGGGAAGCCTCCCCCCACTTTTCTCCTCTTCCCCCCCCCCCACCCCCCAATCCTATCACCAACCTCTTTCTTCCAGTGGGAGCTTCAGATTTGGTCTTGCTTCAGCAAGAAGTCTCTGCATTGGGGTGGGGGGGGGGGCCTTGGAGAGTCACCAGGGCCAGATTGCAAGCAGTGGGAATATTGGAGGGGAAGCTGGAGATCTCTCCAGAGGTACTGTTTATCCTCCAGGGCCCTGGCAGAGAAGCTGGCCTCAGGCCATCTCATCATGTTAGAGCACAGTCCTTCCTGAAATTCGCCCTTTGTCTTGAGAAGCACTGTTTCTGTCTGTCTGACTCTCCTTGCTTACTCGGCTGAAGTTCTCACCCCTCCGGTCCTCCTGAGGGGTGGAAGGAAAATCCTACGGGCAGGTTGGCGGCTCTTCTTTCCCCATTCACCATCTAGGTGTCTTAGTTACCAAAGTCCAGAATGGACTTTGCAAAGTTTCTTCACCTGAGTTAGAGCTGAAATAAGAATCCCATTTCAAATATCCTTTGTGTAGCTGGTGGAATGTTTGGTACATTCCAATAACCTTGGTTTGTTTTTAGACATAGAAAGTTATAGCCAAAGGTGCAGTTACTGCTTTAGGGAATCAAAACTACATAAAAGTATCAAAACTTTGTCATCTCATTACTTTTATAATAATAACAATGAGCATTGGCATAGTGCTTACTGTATGTCAGATTCTGTTCTCCTCAGTTAAAATATTAACCGAGTTAATTGAATCCTCATAACTTGTCCTTATTTTACCCAGCGGCAAATGGAGACACAGCCTGAGAAACTTCTTGAGGTCACATAGCTCATAGATGGTGGAGGAAAGATGTGTACCTAGGGCAGTCTGGCTTCAGGGCCTGTCCCCTGATCTATTGTCACTGAAATTGGCAGCTGCTTAGAAGGGAATTGAGTCTTAGATATCTTTCTGCTGTCTTTGAAATATGAGATTACCAAATGCTGGAAATTAACTATGTCAGTGAAACTATAAAATTGCCCTTTTGAAAAAAAAATAAAATTGCCCTTTTGCTAAGAAAAATTATTTTTATGATAGCACTAATTAAAGACAAATAGCTGGTATTCTTACTGTAATCTGTTATTATTATTACTTTGTTTTGTGTTTATTTTCTTTTTTTTGTTTTGCATATTGTGGGACTTTAACTCTGGTCCCAGGCACTGTCCCTGAGCATCTTTTGTTCAAAGCACTAGCACTCTACTACTTGAGCCACAGTACCATTTCTGGCTTTTTTGAGTAGTTGATTGGAGATAAGAGTCTCATGGAGTTTCTTGCCAAGGTTGATTTTGTATCATGATTCTCAGATCTCAGCCTCCTGAGTGGCTAGGATTACAGGCATGAGCCACTGGTGCCTAGCTGTTTTGTATTTCTTTTTGAGATGAAGTTTCACTATATAGTACAGGCTGGCCTGAAACTCAAAATACTTCTGCCTCAACCTCTGGTGTCCACCATGCCTTGCTGAAAATTACATTATTGTTGTTGTTGTTGTTGTTATTATTATTATTATTTATCATCATCATCCACATGGTCATCATTATATTGGTGGTACTGGAGTTTGAACTTGGGTCTTGTACTTACTTGCTAGGCAGATGCTGTACCACTTGATCTACTCCTAGCCCTTTTTACTTTATTCAGGTAGGGTCTAGAGATTTTACCTGGAGGTGACCTCAGACCTCTATCTTCCTACCTTCTACCTCCCATTTGGCTGGGATGATAGGCAGGCCACTGTGCTTCTGGGCTTCCTGGTTAAACTAGAGTCTTGCTAATTTGTTAACCACTGCCCTTGAACCATGTTTTTTCTGATCTCTACCTCCTGAGTAGCTGGGATTACAAGCATGTACTTGGCCGCAAATTATTTTTGTATGTTTACTGAAAAAGGATCCAAAGGACATTTCTTGGGGTTAATAACTTTTTGTTTAGTGTCCCAATAAAATAGTTGCATATGGAAGTAATATAATAATAGTCCTTAAAAATCTTGAAAACATCAGTCTTTTTTTCGTTTTAAATGAGAGCACTAGAATTTTTCTTTGAATGGACAGGAATAGAAGAGCTGCTTCAATGTGTGTGACTGTGCTTATTTGAAAGTACTCTTGCACACTCATTTTCTTTTCACAGTCAGTCTCACTGTGCTGATCTGAAGCCCTGCATTTATGGGGACTAGTGTTGAAAATAAACTGGTGTGGTGGTCTTATTTGTCTGTGTCATTTTCTGGTTTGGGCAGTTTTCTGGATCATATTATCCTAAGGCAGCCTTTCACAAGTAGACAGATACTCAGATTTTATAAGTAACTATAGCCAATTTTGTAAATAGTTGTAACAAATGACTGAATCTACAAGGTAGGCTTTAGGTAATAGAACTAGAGAGAAGACAGCTTTTCCCTCTTCCTTGGAGTATTATATTCCTGTGAAGTCATGCCCACTTCCTCTAACAAGATTTACAGTCTTGGTGAAGCCACCATCTGAGTGACAGGGTTAGGATAGAGTTTAGGGCAGCTTTCCAAAGAGTAAGTAAACTTCCCCAGAGTGGACAGGGCCAACCTACCACTGAACTGCATTGAATCCCATAGTCAGGTGGGTTTTTGCTTTTAGGTTACCACTAGGTTGAAGAAGAAAGTCTGTTAGTATCTCTGAACCTTACATCTTATATCCCATAGAATTTTCCCTTTGGAACAAAGGACAGGCCTCCCCAACTTCCTGCTTTGATAGAGAACGATAGTGAGAGTTTAGTTGATTGCCTTGTTTGCATTGCTTGCAGTGTGCCCTATCTACTTCTGATGTGAATACTGCCTCTCTGTTTACAGTGGGGAGAAGGACTCTCTTTAATAATAATCTAAAGCAGATGAAGTGAGACAATCTGGAGAGAGTGGCTATATCTGTGGCACATGGTGAATTTAGTAGAGTGATGGTAAAGGCTTAGGAAGTGTCTCATTTCCGAATGTACTCCCATAAGCTCACAGATTTTATACACTGTCACAGGCAAGACTTATTTTTCTTTTCCTTTTCCTTTTTTATCAGCGCTGGAGTATGAACTCAAAGCCTCATCTTGCTCTACCGCTTCAGTCACATATACCGGTATACCGGGCCCTTAATGCTGCTTTTTTTTTTTTTTTTCAAATAAGGACTCACATTTATGCCCAGATAGGACAGCGATCCCCCTATTTATAGTTCTCGCCTGAGGACATAGATGAGTGTGACCATACCCAACTTTTTGTTGGTTGCGATGATGTCTCATGAGCTTTTGGTCTAGGTTGGTCTTGATCCTCAATCTTCCAAATCTCAGCCTTCCAAATGACTAGGATACAGTTGTGAGTCACATACATGTTCTATTTCTAATTACGTTGTGGCAGCATTGTTCCTTTTATTCTCAAGCATTAGGAGGCTGTAAGGATGACATTTGCTGTGGCTGTAACATTGAATCTCCCCTATTAATCCATGTACAGATATTGATTTGATAGTCTATTAGCAATACAACACTATGATTAGTATTAATAACCTTATACACTGGATATGGTTAAAGATCATTATTTATAATACTAATGAACATAATAATAATAGTGATAAATAATGTGTACTGAGCAGTTACCTAACTTTGAATGTCACCTAACTTTACATGTATGAACTTGCTTCATCTTCATAACCACACTATGTCGAGAGTGTAATGATGATAATCTGCTTTTATGAGTAAGGGAACTCAGTGAGGGTGTCTGGAGATTTGGTAAACACACTAGTGATAGGAAACAAGGCCTATGGCTTGAATATATTTTATTACCTTCAACTCTTTGATCCCTGCAAATACAGTTTGGGACTCATCTTTGAGCAGCCTTCCTCTAGTTGGAGCCCAGCAAGACAGAGAAGCAAACAAGACCTACTTCCATAATTAAACCAAAAAGTGTCGCTCTGGTTGGAAGTCTTGGCTTGTTCTGCAGGAAATGCCAAGCCAGGACTGCCAGGCTTTGCACTATCTTTAGACCATAATGATGGATCAGACCTGTCATGTATCTGAGGACCACAGCATAGCCCCCAATCCCACTACAATACTGACAAAGGGAAACGAGCTTTCATCTGCTAGAGATTGAAAGCTAAGATCTAATTGATTGTTACAATGATAACCCTAAACATGGGAAAACCACTGCTTGACATGGCTGAATATGATCACTCTACGTGAGTGTCCGGAAAACAGAAACTTTGAGTAAAGAAGACAACTTGCATGCTCCAAAGAGTGATGACAGCAAGATGCCATGTGAAAACAAAATGTGGTCTTAATTGTTTTCTCATGATTTGACTAAGCTAACACTTGACTGTAAAATACTTTCCTCTTACTTTATCTGTGTTGTGTTCATTTTCATCTAGATCGTTCTTTCAGCGTCCACAAAAAATCCAAGAATGCTTCGACATTCCTTGCTGCTGGCCGGCTTTCTGACATGCTCAATGGTGGTGATGAAGTCTACGCTAACTGTATGGCAATAGATCAGGTAAGGTGCCCTGAAATCACCAGGTGGAGCCAGGTATGAGAGGTGCAGTCAGAATCTAGAGTTCCTTTGAAAATTCCAGCCTGGGAGAGGTCCAGAGGATGCTGCTGTAACATCTTCTCTCCAAGGTGTTTTACTATACTGCTTTATACCACAGCATAACCCTACCCCAACCGGAAATGTGGGAAGGAGGAAAGCTGATATACTGCCAGAGGGCTCTTCAGTGAGGACAAATAAGCATAGTACTAGATCTTCTGCATGGCTTTTCAATGAACAGTGCATGCAGGAAGTGATCAGGGAATGTTTGCATTTGAGTCCAGCCAACAGTGCCTGGTCCAGCCCAGGATGCTGTCATGGGATACTCTCACATAAATTGCTTCTTTAACCCTTAGAATACACCTGTTAACAGATACCAGTTCTAGAAGTTGACTATCAAAGCAGAGTGGTATCATGTTATAGGGCTAGTGAAGATTTGAGAACTTTCCACCCATTCGCTGGTAGAGGCTTGAGTTAATCTCATAAAAGCAGAGGCTTTGAATACATCTATATCTAGTTATCCCCTGTTCTCTCTAACATAATGGGTTTTGAATTTTAGTACTTCTAAACACCTAATTTAAAGGAGGATTTGAGAGGTTTTCGTAAGTTTGGTAATGCAATCTCTGCCTTACCCACTGACTTTAAAAACTAATTCCCACACAAGATACACACACACACACACACACACACACACACACACACACACACACACACACACACACCATATGTGTTTATATATAATATAAAATATATTTACTTATTGCTAAATTGGCAGTAAGGTATTTTGCTTCTTTGTTATTACTATACTAAGAAATACTTTCTGCGATATAAACTCTTTTTCTGTGTAGTAGTAGATCTCAATTTCACCCCTTTAGTTGAATACTTCTACCTGCGTTCTGCAGTATTATACAGCATTATTACCATAAGTGAATAGTTAACAAGCATAGTGAGATGAAAGTAAAAATGACAGAGAAATCAATAAATCAAAATAAACATTTGCTGTAAATAGCTCATATTGTTTTGTTGTAAACTAGCTAAAGGTCAGTTCTAGTTATAGACATGTTCGGTGGAGCAAGGGACAGAGTGGGAGTTCTGGAACATTCTTTTTTTTGGGGGGGGTCCGGTCGTGGGGCCTGAACTCTGGGCCTGGGCACTGTCCCTCAGCTCTTCAGCTCAAGGCTAGCACTCTACCACTTGAGCCATAGCACCACTTCCGGCTTTTTTTCCCCCTGCTTATGTGGTGCTGAGGAATCGAACCCAGGGCCTCATGCATGCAAGGCAAGCACTCTACCACTGAGCCACCTTCTCAGCCCCTGGAACATTCTTTAAAGGTACAGAGTAATTGTACTTTGTATGCTATAGCCATACTTTAAGATGTGTATGTATGTATCTATGTATCCACCTATCTATGTATGTATATATGTGCATATATAAACACATAGACATATGTATGCATATATACATTTCTACCCACACAATATAAATATTCTTTTTTAGCATCTACACTGTGCTATACAATGATTACACAAATTTACATATGTATATGTTTGTATATTTTATTTTCCAGCTTTTTTTGTGGTGAATTGACAAAACTCATCTGTATTTAATGTTTACACTGTGAAGTTTTGGTGTGCTTATGTATTATGGAGTGACGACTGCAGACACACTAATTGAGCCTATCTATCACTTCCCATGATTATCTTTTCATTGTTATGAGACTTTCAGGATCTGCTCTCTATAATGTATCATTATTAACTATAGCCACCATGCTGTGCTGTCCCTTAGGACCCAGACTGCAAGTGTGTACACTTTGACTAGCATCTCTCATTTCCCTTACCTCCTAACTCTTAGTCACCACTCTTATATCCATTGTCTCTATGAACTTGGCTTTTGGAGATGACACTATACATATTTATCTTTTTCAGGCTGGTTTATTTCAATTAGCACAGTGTCCTCCTGGTTCATCCATGTTATCACAAATGGCAGGAATTTTAAGGCTAAATAAACTCTGTTTCCTCTATCTCTCTGTGTATTGATACACATATACCATATTTTTCTTCATTAATTTGTCTGTTGATGGATACTTGGCAATTCCATATTTTGCCTCTTGTGAATAAAGCTGCCTTGAACTTGGGAGTGCAGTTATCTCCTGAGGAGAGTGATTTTATTTCTTTATTTCCTTTGGCTATATGCACAGAAGTGTGAACATTAGATCATATTGACAGTTATATTTCAACTTTAAAAAAACATCTATACTGTTTGACTGTACCATTTCGTATTTCCCCTAACCCTGTAGCAAGATTCCCCTTCTTCCTGTTCACTAATAGTATTCTTGTGACTTTCTATAATACAGCCATCCTAACAGGCACAAGGTGATATTATAATTTTGATTTGCATTTTTAGGTGGCTAATGATTCCAAGTACACACACACACACACACACACACACACACACACACACACTCCATTCTCTTTTCATACTCCTTCTAATCTCTGCAGAGTATACAGTGGGGGATAAAGGTTCACTTGCTGGATTTGATGCTTATTATTTGCAGGCAGTTTTAAGTTTGAGGCATCTTCTGTCCTGTGAATAGTCAATGTACATGTACTTTTTGTAGTTTTATTTTTTTCTTCTAGTTTGGTGATGTTATGTATCTTCAGTTATCTTAGTTATCTATATTCTCATGAACTAATTGTAAATTAGAAGAAGAATAAAACATGAAACAATTTTTTGTTCCCACAAGACAAAAAAGTAATGACAAACAAAACAAACAAAAAGATAAATAAGGGAAAGGTTTTCACTTTAGGATTTTTTTTTTTTTGCTGGTACCAAGGTTTGGATTTAGAGACTCATGTTTCCTTGACTGTTGCTCCAGCCTTTTCTGGTTATTTTTGGAGATGGGGTCTTGGAAACTGTTTGGGCTGGCTTCAAACTTCCATCCTACATATATCAGCGTCCTAAGTAGTTAAGATTACAGGTATGAAGCCACTAGTACCTGGCAGGGAACTTGTTTACTAATTCAGGTACAGCCATTATTTCATGCTGTTTCTCAAAAAAATGTTCTTTCAATTTCCAGGTTGGCGATTTGGATATCAACTATATTAATATAGGGGGAATTTCTGCTCATACAAGCCCTGAACCCCTGGAGTCTACTGTGGGAACTCAAAATTGCAAGCACATCCTTATCCCTGACTCTGGCCCCGGTGTGTGTCCACGGGGTGAGAACAGGGAAACAATGGCAAGCAAGGAAGCCTGGAAGGCCTCCATGTCTTCGTCTGGCTCACATACTCCCAACTTGAATCTGGCTTTTGGGCTGCATGGATTTGAAGAACAAAGCCATCTAAAGAAAAGAAGGTAAAAGACTATGTATGTCCCAGAAAACTATTGAAGAAAATGGAGAACTCTGTTAGTTAGACTTAAAAAAAATCTATGTCTTAGTCTCCATCACATGTATCTCTACATCAAAATGTTGCCCCTTCTTATTTCCTATATATGTTGATTTGAAAGTAAGGCAAAAGTGACATTCTTCTTCCCTCATCCCCTCCAGTAGGTGCTATCTAAAAACAAACTAAAGCAAAAAGGGCTGGGAAAATGGCTCAAGTGGTGAAACATGACACTCTGAGTTCAAATCCCAGTAACACACACAAACACGCACATGCATGCACATACACACACGCACACATGCACATACATGCATGCACACACACAGATACACTATTCTGATCAGAACCTACTGAATCTTATATTCTACTAATGAGATTCAGAAGAACATGATTGTAAAATGAGAATGTGTAGATTAACAGCTTAACAAAGAAAAGTCATAGGCCAACTTGAATTAGAATTCTCTAATTAGAATTAGAGAAAAAGAATTGTTTCTAGTATTCAAAATAAAAGAATAGTGGAATATGTAGGTTAGGCTCATGCTGAAGGAGAAGCATGAGGAGAAGCATGTCTATAACTAAAAAGGCTTTCACATAAATCAGGATATGTTTTCAGGCTGCTAATTACTTACACATTGTTGATAGACAGGAAGCAAAGAAATAATGAAGAGCCAGAGCTGGAGATGGTAGCACATCCCTGCCATTCCATCACTCAGGAGGATCATGGGTATGAGGCCAGTTTGAGACTGTTTGGGGAAAAAATGAAAACAAATACTGAAAATTTATAACTTGATCAAAAATAAAATTTGGAAGCTGAATTTGATTAAAAATAGACCTTTTAGATGGGTGCTGATGGCTCACGCCTGTAATCCTAGCTACTCAGGAGGCTGAGACCTGAGAATCACTGTTTGAAGCCAGTCAGGGCAGGAAACTCTGTGAGACTCTTACCTTCAACAATATGCTCCAAGAGTCACATGATTTGTGCAATTGATATTTCACACTGACATTTCATTTTTTTTAAGGAAAAATAACCTGAATGGGTTAATCTGAAGTTTCGTCTGCTAATTGTTTGTAGTTCAAAGTCAAGATGGTTTCATTGGGTTGTGGGACATGAAAGTATTAACACTAGAACTGAAATCACCAAAGAAAAATGCATTTAAAAACACGTCCTTTGTGGAACTGGAGACGATCATGTATGAACAGACTCAGAAAGACATTGTATGTTTTGTCTCATAGTAAAATCTAGATCTAAAAAAATGGACATAAGTGTAAGTAGCAGACTGTGGGGAAAGAGAACCAGGGGAGAGGTGAAGGAGAGAGAATATGATCCAAGTACATTCTGTGGGTATGTAAAAAGCTGGAACAGGAAGTAAGAAGCAGTAATGGAAGGGGTGCATATGATAAAAATATATTATGGAAATATATGTATGGAAATATCACAACAAAACCTCTCCAACTGCATAGTTTAATAAGCACTAATGAAAACTGCATCCTTCATTAACACTGGTAAACACGGATGGTCTGGACAGTAGAGCAGAAAAATGCAACTGTGAACCTGGAATGTACAAGGTCAAATTCTTTCCTCTTAATTTTGTAATGATGAAAATTGAATGGGGAAAGACAACCTGTAGTCAAGCAGAAATACTACATAGTTCTGAGATAGAATAATTTTAAATAAATCTCTGAAAATGATCATCTAGGGTGACATGTTTGGGTCCTTGAATGTAACTTGTTTTTGACCTATGTTTGTCTTATCTGGGCCCTCCTCAATTTTCAGCTGAGATTCACTGGGAGAACACCATGTTGTGTATTCCTTGACATCCTGCTTACCCCAAGCTTATGTCCAAACAGCCCAGGAACTCTGTGTTGTCTGCATATTGAGCATTTGAAGGGTTCCTTAGTGGGGCTTATAAAAATTACATTTACAAACAAAAATAGTGATAATAGTACTAACTCAAATCTGCTTTTTGTTTGGCAAGGTGATTAACATGGTTTTTGCTAGGTAGAAGAGTTCATTGGGAGAAACACAAACCCTTCTTGATAAAGAGACTTGGAGGAGATCAAGAAAAAGCATGAATCAAATATTCATTGGAAATTAAGTCACTACACATTGTACCGCACACCAGTGAGAGAATCTGAACTCCGAAGAATAGAGCCAATATCTGTCTGCATGTTCGTTTATTGAGTTGCTTGCTGATTCCTTGCTTTAGTTCCAGCCTGGATGCCCTGGTTGCTGACAGCGAGGGGGAAGTGTGTCCTGAGCAGCCTCACCTGTGCCATGCTCCAGTGTCTCAGAGTTCCTCAGGAACTAGGGTTCCTAGCGGAGATGAACTGGATTCTTTTGAACCAGATCTTAATATCTCCAGAACTGAATCCCTCTCTCTTTCAAGTAATCTACAGTCAAAGGTAATTTATTGATATGAATCCAGCATATTCTAAGTGTGCAGAATGTTCAAAGTGTTTCTATTTCTATCAGAAAGACAATTCTGGATGACTCACGTCTGAACTATTGTTTTTTCTGGTGTATGTGTGGAGACTCTTGCTTTGATCCAGTCTGTCTTTAATCCCTGTGAATCTGTGGTAACTTTTATAATTCTTACAGTGACTAATTTCTGTTTCCATTAGTTCACAAGGAAGCTGTTCCATTTTCACATCCTTGGAAAAATGTTACATTTTGTACAAGGATTCCTACTATCTCTTAAGCAAAGGGAACAAAACTGGTCGTCTTCAATGATTCTGAAAGATCAAACTTGGTTGTTTCCTATAATTTTCACTTGGCTCAGATGAGGAGTAAATAATGTTAGCAAGGCAGAGGTGATGTTTGTTGAGCAATTCTGGCTTTGTAAACTAATTTGCAGCATCATAAACTTTGTCAGTTTTTCCTCTCATGCCAGGCTTTCTCTTGTTGGCAGTTTCACATGAGAATTTCACTTTGTTGTGGTTATTTAAAGAAAAGAAAAAGCTTGAATTCCTTCTTCCAATCTTGCAAAGAAAGCCCTTCTGTATTTGAACATATCTTTTTTCCTATTAGATTTAGGTTATTTCCCACTCATTTTCTTTTTAAGTTTACTACTGTAAAGACAAGGTGTTATGCTAAAACTTGTTTTACCAAGAACCTGTGGCTGTTAATATTAACACACTTTACTTTTGTAACATATCCTACTGTATGCAAAATGTTTATATATATAATATATAGGTATATATATAATATAATATATATATATGCCAATATAGAATTTCGTACAGCTCACTTAGGACATCAGTAGTGCTTTTATTAGTAACATAAAATGATATTAGAGAAGGAGAGGGGAGGAAGGAAAGAAAGAAGGGAAAGAAAGCCTGTGATATTAATTTGTTTTGGATTTTGAATGAGAATGTGAAAAGAACTCACCATTACTTAGCATGAAAAGTTTTCAGTCTTTGTGAAACAGTTTTATGTTGTTTGTTTTTTAGACAACTCTTTCCTGAAAAGTATATTTTGCCTTGCCTCTGTACTTCGTGTAACATTGCCAAAGAGTTTTGGATGATACCCAAAATTCTGTTGTCATAAAAATGGCACACATGACTTACCATATATGATTTAAATGGAGAAGATGGCAATTGGTGAGGGTCCTTTGTGGCCCACTCACTGTTAAGAGAACTTACCATCTTGTAACCCTTCTCACATCTAGTCTCAAGTGAGTGCTCCCTCATAAGACAGCCAAGGAGCCACAGCCCAAGGCCCTTTGAAGCCAGATCAGGCTTCTGTTTTCAACTTTCCTCTGGGCTCTTTAACCAATGAACTCAGGGGAACCATGTGTTTTTACTTAGGAGTAACCGAAGAAGCTAATGAGTAGGAAGGACAGTTTCTGATGGCTTTAGTAAAGAATTTTGCCTTTTTAATCTTGTGATATCTTAAAACTGTATGGGCAGGATTAATCCTAAAACCTCTGTAGAATCCGAATTGGATATTGTACATAGCTTTGTTGGGGTTCTACTGCATAGCTGTCTAAATTTTCTGTAACGTGTAAGAAAACCATGCTTTAATTGTCCTGCCGTTTCATGTATATTGCCAATATAACGATAGAAATAATATGCACTTGGAAAAATAGAGGAAAATGCCAGGTTACTATGAAGAACTTATATTAAAAATATTTAAATCAGTGATATTCAAACTTTACTCCTGGAAGTTTGGGATGGAAGATGTACTAAAAAATGTGCACACACAGGTGGTTATTTGGAAATATTAAAAAAAAACTCTTGCAATTCCAAATAGCTATTAATCATCTGTAAATATAGAAATTGAAGTGTGTATAGAATTTCAGATAAAATCTGCTTTTTGTTTTGTTTTGCTGGGCCTAGGGCTTGAACTCTGGGCCTGGGTGCTGTCCCTGAGCTTTTTTGGTTCAAATCTAGCACTCTACCACTTAAGCCACAGCACCACTTCTGGCTTTTTCTGTATACAAGTTTATTGGAGATAAGAGTCTCGTGGACTTTCTTGCCCAGGATGGCTTCAAATCATGATCCTCAAATCTCAGCCTCCTGAGTAGCTAGGAGATTACAGGCATAAGCCACTGATGCCTGGTGATAAAATAATTTTTAACTGTCTTTGTTTTTAACCAAATTGGTTGGAATGGCATAATTCCATTCTGAAGTATGTGTAGGAACCATTCCCCAAATCTCAATTTTATTAATACACTAAAAATAGAACTTTAAAAAAGTTACGAGAGGCAAATAGAAACAGTTAATAAGATCATTTAAGAAATAATCAGATTGAGCCAGGTATAGCTCTCACTGGTAATCCCACCTACTTAGGAAGTAGAGATCAGGAGGATGATGTTTTGAGGCTACCCTGGGCAAAAAGCAAGACCCTATTTCAGTCAACAAGCTAGGCGTGGTGGTCATCCTAGCTAGGTGGGAGACAAAAACAGGAGGGTCATGGTTCAGGATAGAAAACAAGATCATATCTAAAACAAATAACTAAAAAAATCAGGAAGCATGGATCAAATGGTGGAATGCTTGCCTAGTAAGCTAAAAACTAAGTGTGAACCCAAGTACCACCAAAATAAATAAGTAGAAAAGAAACACTCAGGCTAATTTTTACAAAGATACTGGTTTAGTAGCATTCATGGTAAACTCATACTTTCAGTCTTATGTAGGAATTTTTCTTTGTATTGGTCCTAGGGCTTAGACTCAGGGCCCAGGTGTTGTCCCTGATCTTTTGTGCTCAAGGCTAGTACTCTACCACTTGAACTACACTCAAGTAGTATTGTAGATGTGGAAGGGAAGAGTAAAAAACATATCGTTTAACTAGGGATACAGGTGGACCCATTGCAACAATGAGATGTACAAGTCGTTATGTCAAAAAACGAACTTTATAACTTTGGTGGCGGGGGCGGGGGGGGGGACCAGTCGGAGGGAGGTAGGGGGAGTATGGGAAGGGATGGGAAGGGGAAACAAAGAGGAGGCAACAATGCTTGATAAGAAATGTATTCATTGTCTTGCCCATGTAATTGTAACCCCTCTGTACAGTATTCTCACAATAAAAGAAAAAAAGAAGAGTCTCATTAAATTTCTTGCCTGGGGTTTTGAACTGCAATCCTCAGAACTCAGCCTCCTGAATAGCTAGTATTACAGGTGTGAGCCACCAGTACCTGGTTTCATGTGTAATTTTAAAAAATTTTATTTTATTGTAAAGATGCTGTACAGAGGGGTTACAGATACATGAGTAAGGTAATGAGTACATTTCTTGTTGAGCATTGCTACCCCCTCCTTTGTTTTTCTCCTACTATCCCTTCCAGAATTTTGTTTTAAAGACTTCATTATTGGGGCTGGGAAGTGGTAGAGTGCTTGCCTCGCATGCATGAGGCCCTGGGTTTGATTTTTCAGCACCACATAAGCAGAAAAAAGCCGGAAGTGGCGCTGTGGCTTAAGTGGTAGGGTGCTAGCCTTGAGCTGAAGAGCTGAGGGACAGCGCCCAGGGACAGCTCCATGACAGACTAAAAAAGAAAAAGAAAAAAAAGACTTCATTATTATCTCTTTTAGGAATCACTGCTTTCTGGAATCCGTTCGAGATCTTATTCCTGCTCATCTCCCAAAATTTCTTTAGGAAAAACTCGACTGGTGCGGGATCTTACAGTGTGCAATTCCAGTGAAGGTAAACATTATTTGCCATTTGGCTTTGAAAGCATTTGATTCAGAACAGGTGCTCAGTGTAGATACACAAGTCACACAAGAACAGCAGGGGATTTTCAATTCTAGTTCCACAACTGATTTTTCTAATCTTAGTACCATTATTTTCTCAAAGGATATGAATTTTGATGAAATTACACATATGTCTATGTCTCTTTGTTGCTGAATATATAAATACAATTTCATCAAGGATTGTGTAAATGAGAATGCTAAGTACTGTGAGGGTTTTAAAGGATTTTTTTTTATGCCAGTCCTGGAGCTTGAATGCAGGGTCCTGGGTACTGTCTCTGAGCTTCGTTTGCTCAAAGCTAGTGCTCTACCACTTGACCCAGAGCTCCACTTCTGGCTTTTTTTTTTTGAGAAGTTTATTGGAGAGTCTAATGGACTTTCCTGCCTGGGCTGGCTTTGAACAACAATCCTCAAATCTCAGCCTCCTGAGTAGCTAAGATTACAGGCATGAGCTACCAGTGTCCAGCTGGAGGATTTTTTGGAAGTCAGTTGTAAAAGTTAACTTTTGTTTTGTGCCTTAGTTGTTGAAATAATCCACTCCCCAGAGCCAAAGCATTGCAAAATAGTTTCTTTCCATTTCCATTGATTAGCAAGAATCTTGGGAGATTTGAAATGACAACATAGTCATATATAAGGAAATTTGTTTTAGTGTTGTGGGGGCTAATGGCAGTATATGAAATCAGAAATAAGACATATAAAGCAAACTTTGAGTTGAAATATATCTACAAATGGATTCAAGCTATAAACATTATGGGACTACAACTTGATGAATTCAAAGAGCAAATTCAGATCTACTTAGAACAATGATAGGCAAACTAGAGCTCCCTGAAGGTAGGGTTCAGCTGTTGCCCCTTACTTTGAAATGCAATTATGTCATATTTTCTCTAAATTACATATGATGTAATCATCCTATTTAATGGCCTATTTGGAAGTAATAATGCCAGCATGAAGCATATAACATTGTAATGAAAGTTTTCAATAAATTAATGTCTTTCTTGTTATTTGTCTTTAAGAATCACAAGAGGCTCAGAAAGTAAGAGATGTATTTAAGTACTGTGTTACCCAATGTACAATATTTAAAGTAGAATTTCATTCTTCCCTTTCTCTGCTTTTACCTTATAGTATTTTAATACTATTTTGCATTTTATATTGATAATACTGATAATATGATCTTTGTGTTTGGAGCTATGCATGCTGATATAATGACATAAAATATGATACCTGTTGAATAAATATTTGTTGCCTGTATGTGTTTGACAAGATATATAAAGTATAAAATGAGAGTTACTTTGTGAGCTTTTCCCCACTTTTCTAAGTTGTATTATTAGAAGAGAAAGACTAATAAGGAATGTTTTTATTTTTGGACTGAGAAGATTTCAAAGAACTTTAGAAAGAAATTTCTCAGAGAAGGAAAAAAAAAAACACATAGAATTACCTTGAGAGGCCAGGAAAAAAAAGAGAGGTGTATTGAAATTGCCTGGGATTTTAGTTTTTCATTTCATGGGTCTTTCTATAATTCCAGGTCTCCTCAATCTTACTCTGAGTTCTTTTAAAGAAAAACTTGACAATTTTTTACTGATGGTCCTACCTGATGATTACCTTTACACTGTTTCTCTCTGAGAAACACATTCTTGCTTCCTTCTAGAATGTTACTTGTAATTATTTTTCATGACTTTTGTTTTCAGCCAAAAATACAACAGTGACAACTTTATTGTTTAATGTTTATATACATAAAACAAAACTCAGTTTTTATAATTCCCATTGGTCCCTTGTGAGTTTAAATAGAAAGGAGCTTTGCTAATGGTGAGATATAATTACAACTTCAACCAAGATGGACAAAAGCGTTCTACATTTAAGAATTTGATGAGAGAGTTAGGAGTAAGGCCCAAGTGGTAAATCACCAGTTAGTAAGTAAATCATCACTTAGTGAGTGTGATTGCCCTGAGTTCAAACCCCAGTACCACACAAAAAAAAGGAGGACTAGAGGCATGGCTGTGGTGATAGGGTACCAGCCTTTAACTGAAAGTACCAGAACCTGTGTTCAAGTCCCAGTCCCAGAAGAAAGAATAAAAAGGATTTGAGGAATGGATACTTTTGAAAAGTTACTATGAACTGACCTATGAAATCCTATAACGTTATACTCAGTTTCCACTTTACAGCCTGATTATTTTGGATCACATTTTCTTGGTACTTCACTCTATTTTCAATAAGGGTTATAATCTCTGGCTGTGACTTAAATTTGAGGAACATTTTTATAATGGCCATAAAACAAAGCCTTCAAGTTCCTCAAATTTTATTTCTTTTATATACCAGACAGCCTAAGGTCAGTACTGGTATCTCTGTGCTCCAGGTGATATTTATTTTCCTTGTATTTCCAGACCATTTCCCTTTACAACCCAGTGTTGCCTCTTCCCCATTCTGGATTGTAATAGGAAAAGGTCTGTCCTGCTCTATAGATCCTATACTCCACAATGGCTGCTCCTTCCTTTAGTCCCTGTCGCAATGTAAGTCCGTGTCTCTTCTCCATCCCTGTAGTTGTGAAACTCTGGAAATAAGCTTTGCATGAACCTGTATTCCTATCCCACCAACTGGAAGCAAAGGTGGTTCTCCTAGTCCACCAACCCCAAAGTCCACTTCCCAATTGGCCGCTGCAAAGATTTTATAAGGGTATTACATTATACACTTCTAATTCTGGCCTTCAAGACTTTTTTTCCTTTGAACTTTGGTCAAAAACAGCTAAGATATTTCTTGATTGTCTTTGCTGGAGAATTCTTGTTATGAATAAGGATGAAGGTTAAGTGAGAAGTAACCCAAAATATAGAAGTAATTTCTATTTCCCCTTGCTGGTGCAAGCCCACAAAAATCATATAATCAGTCTAATCTCCACCTTCTCCAAACTAGGGAAAACAATAGAGATATCTAGAACAATACCCTAGTTATGTAAGATTACTTGTGTTCTCATTATTGTGTGTACAATGATCAAATATGGGAAATGGATGCATTTCAAACTAACATGACTGACTGAGTTTTTATTTTATTTGTCTGTATCTTACAGAGCAAAGAGTTTATAGTGTACCAGAGCCACCAGGAGGGAAAAGGTACTTTAACCATTTCAATTTGAGGAGGGATTGCTTGATCCATCTTTGGGAACTTCATGTTCCATTTCCTATCTGCCCAGTGATCTGTCAGATTTCTGTGTACTCCGCTGCCTAAGATCCTCCTTCTCTGCTTCTGTGATTTGAATCAGTGTAAATCAACCAGCTGTCTTTTCAGGCCTCAGATATGGTGTGTGCAGACCAAGGAGTGGGGCCAAGATGCTCTGTTTTACATTATTTTCAAAGCTGAACTCCTTCAGGGAAGGGTGTGAGGACCACCTGCTGCAGAAAGCTGCAGGTCTGCTCTCGGTCTGCTCTTCTGGGACAAGAAGGCTTACTGTAGAAGCAGGCCCCTGGGATGCCATTAGAGAATGTAAACATCCCAAGTCCTTTTTCCCTTGTGGGAGTTTTGCTTATACAAAGAATAAAAGATGTAGCAATTACCTCCCACATTCCCCTTTTCATAGAGAGATTTGAAAAGGTTTAAGCCTAAGCTTCTCTCTCTCTTTTTTTTCCCCAGAAGGTAAACTTGCCAGAGCCAAGCTAGGGAAAAGCTGGGTTATATTGATCTTGCAGAGGTGATGGTGCATGAGTCACACTATGGATAGGCCTGGGGTGATGTCTGAAACAAGTATCAGGAAATGAGGAAATATTTGGCTTTAATTCTGAGATTTAAGTCTTTAAAAACAAGCAAACAGACACAAACAAACAGCACTTCTCTTAGACATTGAATGGCTTGCTTAGTGAGATCAGGGTCTTGCTCTGTATCTCATGCTGACCTTCCCTGTTTTCTGGGAGCTGGGTTTATAGGCATGTACCACCCTGTGTAAGGCAGGATTTTTGCTAAACTCTCAGATGTTTCCCTCCCCCACCCATTCTATAGCATATGATGATATGAAGTTTGCAAATTAGGACACCTACGATATCTGGCATCCTAATTTGTAATTAATTTTAGATTATATTAATGAGTCAATTACTTCTGGTGAAGTGACTAGAAGGTAGCTATGGAAGTAGAAGGGAAGTGAGAAAGTCTGAGATCCTTTTATTGCTGTCAGTCATCACTGAGTTCTCTCTTTTCACATTTCCTTCTAGTTTTTTTCTGGTGATTGTCTCAGTGGTAGAACAAGTTTCATTTATTCTGCAGGATTTGAGTAGCAGGACATACAGTTCTGACTATACCTGTAGCTTTACCAGGCCAAGCTCTGAAGCCATTGTTTATTTTTTTCAATAGATACATTCATGAGTTCGAACCCAAAAATACCTAAAATGAAGCTTAAATAACTTAATTTTGTTATTAATGGGAAGGTCTGTCATTAATCACATAAGAAAAACTTAAGCCCTAAACATTTTTTTTGTAAGCAACATTTTTTTATGGACTGTAACCATACTTACTTTTGTATGTATTAGTGATAGGATTACTTATAAATATTTCCCAGAGAAATCCTATTAGCTGCTTGTGAGAAAAAAAAGAAGCTTAAGTTGTAGAATGTCTATGGAAATAGCTTGTTTGACATGATACTTAGTTTTTTAGTGAATTCTCTTTTTCAGTAATGATGTTAGAAACATTACTATTAGAGGATGTGCTAGGAGAATTATAACTTTTCATAGCTTGGAGTTTGTTTTCCAGAGAATAGTTATATGGATTACAAGGAAGTCAATAATGTCCAGTGTGTTCATACTGGGTACAGTTGCCCCTGGCATGCCTTCTTTTTTTTTGAGGGGGGAGGGTGGCAGCTAATAGACAACTTTCTTTCCTCTGCAGCCTAGTAATCTGAGAGGGAAGAGATTGGCCAAGAGGCGTACATTGTGTCTCTCAGGCTCTATCAACAAAGGAAGCACACGTCTTATTGGAATAGCAAACAGAGAAATGCTTTTAGAGTAAAATTATAAGTCTACTATTTCCTTTATGCCATTTTCCCCTTCCAAATAACCATTAAAACCTAAAAAATACCTTGCACATGAATATTTATAGTTAAGCATGCACATATACATGTATGCATATGCCATTCCCTGTTCCTTCTTCAAAACCTGTAAAACATGGTGATTGATTCTGTTACGATTATTGTTATTATAATATAGAATTCAGGAAGAAGAATGGGACAAATACATCATCCCTGCCAAATCAGAGTCTGAAAAGTACAAAGTGAGCCGAACTTTCAGCTTCCTCATGAATAGGATGACTAGCCCTCGGAATAAATCTAAGGTAATTCTGCACCTTCTTGCTGTAAGGCATAGAGGGCTTCAGCTTTCCACCATGAGAATAGTTCTTACTTTCCCCTTCATATCACTTACCTTAGATTACATATACACCTTTCTTGGAGGATTATTGTCTAATCATTAGGAATACTAGGACCTCTCCGGGGACTAGGACATGTTAGTGTATGGTCCCTTTATTCCTTCTTCTGCCTTCGGTGTGAAGGTCAACTGGCTAATTTTCTTTTTTACGTTTGCTCCATTTGTATGTTACTGCCTCTCTGCTGCTGTTTCTGAAGATGAAGAACAAGGATACCAAAGACAAAGAGAAAATGAATCGACATCAGTTTGTCCCTGGAACGTTTTCTGGTGTTCAGCAGTGTTCGGCTTGTGATAAAACACTCCTGGGGAAAGAGTCATTCCAGTGTTCCAGTAAGTTCTGGGATCTAATTCTGGGTTGGCTTCCTAGCCACCTCCTTTAGGTGAATGTTTTCTTCTTTTCCGTGGGGTGCTGCTTTCTGTTTATCACCTTGTTTGTGGTTACCTTCTTTCCAAACTTGGGATACCGTCCAAACTCAGTTCTTGGGTATTTCTTCATTTTTCCTTTGCTATTTTTTTTTTTTTTAAGAACAGTCATCAGTCTTAGGTTCTAAAATACCCCCATTTAGACCTATTCCCCTCAAACTAATGACATTATCCTCATTTCTAGGTGCTGGACATCATATCACTTATGGCCACTTTTGAGGATGATGTTAGAGTAAATGACCGATATGAACCAATCACTGGCCCATAGGGTGACCCTGTATGTGGGTGTCACCACCCAAGTTTCATCGTCTCCCCAGACCCAACGTATCTAAATCCAACCTCAAAACGCCGCCCTCTGCTCGGGTTAATGGGACTGTAGGCAGAACCTTGGCCTTGATGTTTTCCCTTTACTGGCAGGGGGCAAGAGTCAGTGTCATTCAGCCCACTCTGACCAGGGCGGGGTCTCCTCACCTGGCCTTCTCAGGGTGCATTGTGCTGGCGTCCCTCTCCATGTGTTTTACCCTACAGTTTATAATAAATAATTTGGCCCCATAGACTTTGTCAAATGCCACTGTCATCGGCCTACATAAATTTAAGGATTTATCTTTTTTGGTCACTGAGCATCAAGTGTCTTGTCTGTGAACTGGTAACTGGCTTACATTTCCCTCTTCAATCTTAGTTGACAACCTGATGCCTGTCGGTCTCATTGCCCTAGTGTTTTCTCTCCAGGGATGATTTCCCACTCTGCATTCTTGCTCATAATAATTCCCCTTCTCTCTCTCAGATTCAGTTACCCCAGTTCCTGGATCAGAAATTCCACCACCTCTTTAGAGGGCTTCCCTGACCACTGTGGCCCAAATTTCTGCCACTCATGTTGATGATTTCTTCCCATTTTGTTTAGCATTAGGTTTTGTGCAGTCTTTGCAGTTTAATTCTAAATTAGACAAAGTTCTTTAAAGATTATTACTACTCAGTGGCACTTTACAGCATTATAAGACTGGTGCTTAGACATTTGTGCCTAGTTAATCCTGATCAACCCGCATTCATCAAAATGCTAAGTAAATGAACCCCATAGGGACACAAGAAGTCTTTCTTTGTTGTTTTTAATGTACTATGTGATTTTTTTTGTTTCCTTTGTATGTTCTTCCCCCTATGGTATATGCCTTGTAGTCACTGTACTTGATTTTGATATATTGCATCTTGTATCTACATTTGTCTAACTTGGGGAGTGGAAGAGGAATAACAAGGACACAGGATGACCCATTGCAACAGTGATACCCACAGACAGTATATTGGAAATGAACTTTACAACTTCTGGTGTGAGGGGGGAGTGAGGGAGTTGGAGGAGGGAAGGGATAGTGGGAGAACAACAAAGGAGAGGGTGACAATGTTCGACAAGAAATGTGCTCATTACCTTGCTCATGTAACTGTAACCCCTCTGTACAGCATCTTTACAATTAAATTGAGAAAAAAGGGAATTGAACCAGGCACTGGTGGCTCATGCCTGTAATCCTAGCTACTCAGGAGGCTGAGATCTAAGGATCTTGTTTCAAAGTCCATGAGACTTTTGTTGCCAATTAAGCACCCAAAAGCCAGAAGTGGAGTTGTGGCTCAAGTGGTAGAGTACCAGCCTTGAGTGGAACATATAAGGGACAAGGCAGGCCCTGAGTTCAAGCCCCAATACTAGAACACACAAAGTAAACTTGTAGTGAATGAGATGTTCGCTCATCCTAAATTTATTCAAGGATTGTAATGGAGACTATAATGTAAGTTGGAAGTTGCTACAAGTACCAAAGATAGTTAGCTGTTAAGCACTTATTACTTAAAAATCACTAGAATTCATAGAAACTTGGTTTAAAGAGAAAGAAGTATCTAATATTTTAACACCTAAGAAAATTAATACTATTATAATGTGTTCCTTCTAACCATAAGACTGTCTTGTCAGCTTTTCATATTCTTGTTTCATTTGATGGTGGTGACAGATGTTTTTAGTTGTATTTTACTGTACATTTAATTTTTTTGAATTTTATCTAACAAAAAATCAAGTACTTATTAGTACATATTTCTATCCACATCATTAATTATTCCCTTAGATTAAATTTCCAGAATCAGGATGTCAGTATGTATGTCAAGATATACACTTTTTTTTTTTCCAACCATCCAATTTTAAAGAACTTTTTTTTTTGGTCTGTTGTGGGCCTGAACTCTGAGCACTGTCCTTGAGCTCTTCAGCTCAAGGCTAGGGCTCTACCACTTGAGCCACAGAGCCACTTCCGGCTTTTTCTGCTTATGAGGTGCTGAAGAATCGAATGCAGGGCCTCATGCATGCAAGACAAACACTCTACCACTGAGCCACCTTCCAAACCCCTTAAAGAACTATTTTTAAGATTCATATGTTTTCTTCAGGAGATAAATTAGGTGGTGGTGTCTCAATTTGCTTAAACATTGTTTTTTACATTGTATATGACAAGGATAATTTACACTCTAGGTAGATAATCATATTCCATGGATGTGGTTTTGATTTATGAGGCACTCTTAGTATCTACTAATGACAGTTTGAGAGTTGTGTAGGGCTAAGAACTTAATACTCTCTTGTTTTCCCTATGAATATTCTTTCCCCTAGTCTTTGTTTAATGTATCAATATTGTATTACTATATTTTATATTGTATGTTTAATCTTTAAGAAAATTTTTTCTGTTTCAAGGAAAATATTTGATGCTTTTATTCAGTTCTGTGTCTACTTAAAATTTTTAGACAGACTTCTTTCTTTTTTGTGGGGGGAGGGAGGTCCGGTCATGGGGCCTGAACTCTGGGCCTGGGCGCTGTCTCTCAGCTCTTCAGCTCAAGGCTAGTGCTCTACCACTTGAGCCACAACGCCACTTCTGGCTTTTTTCTTTTTGCTTATGTGGTGCTGAGGAATCAAACCCAGGGCCTCTGGCATGCAAGGCATGCACTCTACCACTGAGCCACCTTCCCAGCCAGACATGCTTCTTTCTTTAGGTTGGCTTATTTACTTTTTTTTTTTTTTTTTTTTAAATTTTATTTTATTTTATTTGAGAACATACTGTACAGAGGGGTTACAATTACATGGGCAGGATAATGCATACATTTCTTACCAAGCATTGCAGCCTCCTCCTTTGTTTACCCATCACCTCCCTTCCCAGCCTCCCCCCTCCCTCCCACCCAATCATACCCCCCCCCCCCCCCCACCGACATTGTAAAGCTGGTTTTGACATGACATTTTGTACTTCTCATTGTTGCAACAGGTCCACCTGAATCCTTAAACGACTTGTTTGTCCCCATCTCCTCCACAGGTTATACTAACATCAAATATAGTGAAAGCGGGGGTTACACTGTGGGGGAGGGAGGCTTATTTACTTTTGTTCCTTTGCTTTTAAACTACAGCTATTTGTTGTTGTTGTTGTTGTTGTTGTTTTTTCCATGGTTTGAACTTAGGGCCTCACACTTGCTTGGTTGGTCCACTTGAGTCAGCCCTCCATCCTTGTTTTCTCTACTTATGTTGGAGATGGAGTCTCACAGAATTTTTTACCTAGGCTAGCTTTGAACCAAAATCCTCTGGATCTTAGCCTCATGAGTCACTAATTACAGACATGAACCATAAGGACCCAGCTCTATTCTTGAATGCTAAATTTTGATTCTGTTTTCAGTAGGCAAAAATAGGATTGAACAGTTTTCTGAAACTTTAGGTACCTAAGAGCATCACTGCTTCTTTCACAGAAGGAAAATATTTTACCTGGTTAAATGAGGCCTTAGACCAAAACCTTTCTGTTTAGTACCTGTCCATATTGGTCTGATACAGCTGAAAACTTACTACACAGTGAGAAAGTCTGGAGCCTGTCTGACTTGATTTCTTTCTTGGTAATCCCCTTTTCTGTCCACATGCATTTTTTATCATATATAGAATTTATCAGAAGGGATCTATAGAATAGATATGATTTAATTATTATAGCTATTATTTTTAGAAAATGATGAGACCTTTACCCTTGCCCTTTGAGAGGACTTTTCTTTTTCTCTTATAGCCTTCACTATTATAACTCCTGTGTCATTTTTCTGATATCTTGTGAGGCTGTCATCTCTGATTTCTCTGTATTTTGTGTGACATCTATTTTATAATTATACCCTTCTCCACATTCTGGAGGGGATCTTTCAAGCTGAATTTCACAGTGCTGCTTTGATATTCTGACACATAGATCGGTCTCAATTCAGTTTCAGATCTTTTCCTCAGTGTGGTTCCTACTTGTCTCAGCGGCCCCATTTCCCTTTCATCCTGCTAACCTCTCTTCACATTCTCCTTTCCCTTCAAGAATATTCTGACACATAGATCGGTCTCAATTCAGTTTCAGATCTTTTCCTCAGTGTGGTTCCTACTTGTCTCAGTGGCCCCATTTCCCTTTCATCCTGCTAACCTCTCTTCACATTCTCCTTTCCCTTCAAGACCTGTGGGTCCTTTTTTATAGCAGCTTTACCTTGTGTCTCTTACCAAAAGTGCAAGTTTCTACACTGTCTTTTGTATCTGTTCTAGAATCCATCTTTAGCAGCTTGGCCTTCCTGCGAGTTTTATCCTTCCTCCTATTTTCATGTTGTAGAATGAGGACAGAGCTTTCAGGTTTCTGTTGGCCAAGAAGGCCAGTATGGACAATTGCCTTGGCTCTGCTCATTGGCATTGGGGTGTTGGCTGAACCACCTCTTCAGACTTGCAGCTGGGTATAATGACAGAGTTCAGTTTCCTGCTCAGCTTATAGTAGGGTCTTATCCAACATAACTCTGATGAGCTCAAATGAGTTCTTCTACCCATGTGGATTCCTTCTACAGAACTCCTTCTATGACTCCTTTTCCAGAAGCTTCTGGTAGACCCTCAGGCTCTCTTCCAGCTAATATACAGAGTATGGGGGTAGATGAGAGGGTGGTCTGGAGGCAGGGGTGGGGACAGGGAGACGATGGCAGCATGGCAGATAGCAGTGTCCTCAGCACCCTTTACTGAGTGGACAGTCTGGTCTCAGCACCCATGGGCAGAGAGGGACAGGAAAAGGTTCTCTTATGTTCTTCTAGGGAGATGAGACCACTTTGTTTTATGACAGAAAACTTGGGCAAGTGCCTAACTGTTCTCATTTCATGTGGCAATCTCAGACTTTTTTCAGTAGAAATTCCTATTGCAACCTGACAATCATGAATTGGTGGTGTTTAGCATTATTGTTTTTTTTTTCTTTCCGTCTTCCTAGGCATTTTAACTGGAGTTAGAGTAGGAGGTTGCTAGCGCTGGATGTCAGAAACCCCTTATGATATAATGTGGAGAGTGGGAAATGGTCTCGTAGGCAGACCCAGAAGTGCTTGGCACGCAGAATTCTGGTTTCATAATTGATGAAATAATTATAGAAGATGAAAACGAACTCCAAGGGCACCCAAACTATGGCAGTGGGCTTGTCTTATTGGGGAGTGATGTGGTATGATTTACATATTTGTCTTTCCTAAATATTCATAACATTCATGTTCCATCTTTAATACTGATCAGTGAAGCCATAATATAGACTTAATCATTTCAAATTCCCTTAAGTAAGATGGATGCTTTTGTATCTCTTCCCTGTATTTCAGACTGTAATGCAAATGTGCACAAGGCCTGTAAAGACACCGTACTGCCCTGCACCAAGGTAACCTGTCAGTCACTGGTGAACATATGATCTATATCTGCATTCTGGTTTCATATTATCATTTTGGGATTTAACACTTTTTTATATTGCTGCTTAGATTTAATTCTAAAGTGATCAGTTAGTGATACCATAACACATGCTCAAAGTTTACCGTTACTTACTTCTGTAGACTTTTAATAATAGAGAGGAGGCCTAAGTGGCCATTTGGACTAGAGAGTGTGGGTAGGTTAGGCTTTCTGTCCAGACGTGCTTGGTTTACTGGGGAAAAGCCTGAGCACTTGTAAGTGAACAACACAGCATTAATTCTCAAGCATTAGCCAATATAAGAACTACCTGAAGGATCTGTTAGCGCCCAGACTTTTGGCTAGGTGAAATGACTCAGGCCTATAATCCTAGTGGCTTGGGAGGCAGAGATTTGGGGAGATTGAAGCTCAAGGCCAGTCCAGCAAAGCAAAAAAAGAAAAAGAAAAAAGGAAGAAAGAAAAGGTGGTGGGAGTCCATCTTGACCTGTCATCCTGGAAACAGGGAAATACAATCAGGAAAATCACAGTTCAGGCCAGCCAGAGCACAAAATAAAACCAATTTTCAAAATACATTAGCCAACCTGTGCAGTGGGCTTGTCTTATTGGGGAGTGATGTGGTATGATTTACATATTTGTCTTTCCTTAAGTTTTCTAAATATTCGTAACATTCATGTTCCATCTTTAATACTGATCAGTGAAGCCATGATATAGACTTGGTCATTTCAAATGTGTGTGAGCATGTGTGCACCCAAACATTAGCCAATGTGTGCACATGTGGGCACATGTGGACCCAAACACAGCTGGCAGAATGGCTCAAGTAAGAAAATACCTGCTTAGTAAGGGTGAGGCCCTGAGTTCAAAGCCAGTATGGCCCAACAAACAAACAAAAAACAAAGCACACTCCAGGCTTCTCAGCCCCTCTCCCAGAACTTCTCATTCTGTAGGACTGGGTGGGGCCTGAGCATGTTTCTAACAAGCTCCTGGGGGTTGCTGATGCTGCTAGGACCCCCACTTGGAGCTCGCTGGCTGGACTGGTGCACATTCATGTTGGGATGCAGGACAGTGAGCATGGGAATGTGGAGAAACAAACACTGTGTTGACAGAGACACAGCGGGTGAAGAGAGCTGAGTTAAGTGCTGTTCTAAAGGCGATGTGTCAGAGGTTCCTGGTAGTTGTAGTTGTAGTGTAGGCAGAGGAAGAGTGAGGGGTAGAGGGAAGGGAACAGAGAAAAGGATTCAGGGGTTGCCTGGATGGGAACCTCTTTGCCCCCAGAGTCTAGATATATGAGTTGATTTCTGCTCTCCCTTAGGCCTATTGACAGGAGGAGCTCACAAGCTCATCGTCATTTTTACCTGGACATGTCATTGCCATCATACTTTGCTCTTTGTGTTTTTTTTTCCCCCTAAAGTTTTATTTATATATTTACTCATGAATATGGTACTGGAGACTAAACACAGGGCCTCATGCTAGGCAAGTACTCAACCAGAGAGCTATATCTCCAGCCCCACATTTCACTCTGTTTCATTTCTGTCTTTTGCTTTCCTCTTTTTTTGAAATTAACAAAAATGCTATAGATAAGAATCCTATTGAGTGTAATTATGTGCATAATTCTTATAGCTCAAGTGCGTTCTGATCTCATTTTATGTTTCTGATCTTCCTTACCAGAAATTGCAAGACAAATATAGCAAGAACAAGTCTCAGACCATCCTTGGAAGTAAGTAACACAGAAAAGAAAAGTTGTTAAAATTTAATAAACATCCTACATTTTTGTGTATGAGTGTGACTGTACTGGGGCTTGCATTCAGGATCTGGGCACTGTCTTTGACCTTTTAGGTTCAAGGCTAGTGCTCTGCCGGTTGAGCCATGCTCCACTTCTGGCTTTTGGTGGTTAAGTAGAGATAGGAATCACATGGACTTTCCTGCCCAGGCTGGTTTTGAACCTTGATCCACAGGTCTCAGTCTCCTGAGTAGCTAGGATTATAGGTGTGAGTCACAGGAACCCAACTGATACCATACATTTTATCTTTGTAAAAATACCTCCTCCAGGAAGTGGTGTGGTGGCTCAAGTTGTAGAGCACTAGACTTGTGTGAAAGAGCTCAGGGACAGCACCCAGGCCCTGAGTTCAAGTCCTATGACCAAAAAAAAAATATAACTCCTCCATTTGTTGTCTCATTCACCCAGCGATTTATTCTTCTATGACATATGCTTGACATGGTTAAACTAAGGGGCCAAGAAGAATATGAGAGCTGGGCAACAGTGTCTCATGCCTGTAATCTTGGCTACTCAGAGGCTGAGCTCTGAGGATCACAGTTAAAAGCCAGCCCAGGCAGGAAAGTTCATGAGATTCTTATTTCCAGTTAACTACCAAAAAGCTGAAAATGAAGCTGTGGCTCCAGTGGTAGAGCACTAGACTTGAGCAAAAAAGCTGAGTGATAGTTCCTAGGCCTTTGAGATCAAGCCCTACTAATGTCACACATACACACACAAAATTAACTTCTGTGCCAGCCTATATACAGTGTGATGTTTGTATCAGGAAGTCTAGGGGAAAAGGTACTGCCTGCCTCAATTCAAAGATGTGGACTGGGATCCATTGTGCTAATTTAATAATCTCGGGGCAGGGGAGCGGCAGGGGGGAGACTGCAGAAAATACGCTTTAACGTTTTCTTAGCAGCAGCACACATTTAGATATATAAATACCATTTTTCTCCTTAAGAATCAGAGTTAGGTGAAACAGATCTTATTGGGGGTCCATATTCTTAGCACTTGTAGGATGGAAGCAAGATTACAACGATATATTGTACATTTGAAGTTTCTCTTGAAAATAATAGATGACCTCTGACAGTTCTTGGCATTGTAGGGAGGAACTAGTCACATTAATGACTCGTAAATCTTTGTAAATCTTTTGCTTGACTGTGATAATTTGCATTTTCTTTATCTAAAGTTGCATGCCATGGCATGTGGCAAAAATTTTAAGTGCAAGAAACTTTTCAATGCTGTAACAAAATGTGACCAATAAAGTTAGAAAACACTTCAACCAGGGGAAAATTAGCTATACTGAGTCATAGTAACGCACTATTGGGCAGGATGGTATACAAAATGGAGTTTAGGCCCTAATAGCTTCACTTGTAACTTCTTTGCTTGAACCTCAAGCATCTCTTGATCTCACTTGTAAAGTCTCTCACTTACATAAAGTTAAGTGTGAAAACAAAAAGAACTTAGAATTTAGAGAGAAAAATGCCATATATTTCTCTTTATATGAGATTTATGAGGGAAACTTATATATGCATAAAAATCCCTTGGTAAGCCTGGTGCCAGTGGTTTACACCTGTAATCCTAGCTACTCAGGAGGCTGAGGTCTGAGAATCTGTTTGAAGCCAATCTAGGCAAGAAAGTCTGTAAGATTCTTTTTTTTTTTTTTGGGGGGGGGGGGTCTGGTTATGGGGTCTGAACTCCTGAACTCTGGGCCTGGGCACTGTCCCTCAGCTCTTCAGATCAAGGCTAGCACTCTACCACTTGAGCCACAGCGCCACTTCCGGCTTTTTTCTTTTTGCTTATGTGGTGCTGAGGAATCGAACCCAGGGCCTCAAGCATGCAAGGCAAGCGCTCTACCACTGAGCCACCTTCCCAGCCCTGTCTGTAAGATTCCAATTAATCAGCAAAAACCAGAGGTGGAGCTATGATTCAGGTAGTAGAGCACCAACCATGAGAGACAAAGTTAAAGATCAGTGCCCAGATCTGAGTTCAAGCCCCAGGACGCTTCCCTGCTCCCTCCCACACACAAATCCTGAGATAAGTACAAATACTTCCCCTCCTCTGCTTGAGAGTACTTTTGCTGTAGCTATAGTATTATGATTCTGAAATATTTTCTGAGAGTTCTTTTTAGCAGAACCAGTCAGAAAAGTGTGGAAGTACCTGGTTAATTTTCATTAAATTAACAGAGAGAAAACAGCTGAACTGAGTTGACAGATTCTTACATCACAGGGAAGAGATTCCCAGCATCAATGCATTCCATTGACTGGCTCTTTGCTTATTTACACAATCTAGTCACAATGTTAATAACACCTTGCCTCTATTTAAAGCTGGCTGTCTGGAGTACAAGCAGTGGTTTATAGGAAAAGCTGGCCATCATTTCCCCATTCCATTTTCTTGTCTGTTTGTGTCATCCCCAACACAAGTAGAGATGCCTGCAGCATGGGTGTTGGGAGGGTGGAATAAGGAAGGGACACTTGAAGTCACACTTACTGCCAGGCTGGGCACGGACATGTTAGAAATGGCTGTCTGAAGATTGACCTCTCTGGCTTCAGTGGCTTTCTTTCCTTGTAATTATTGTCCCCTGTGAAAGCCTACAACACGTCCGCTCTGATTCCAGCTTCTTCAGTTAGAGATATCCCGCAACCTGGAACCCCCTTGCACCCGTCATCCTCCATGCCTATTGGGCTGCCAGCAGGAAGGAAGGAAACCACGGGGCAGGTTCACCCGCTGTCCAGAAGTGTTCCCAGCACCACCCTGGAAAGGTAAAAGCTTACTGGCTGCTCCTTCTTCATGGCTCACAGAGGCTGCCAAGACGTAATTCCTCTCCTCTCCCTTGCCACCACCAGCTTCAGGAGGTCAGTGACATCTCTGGAGTCTGAAGGTGACGGCAGCGGCTGGCGAAGCAGGTCTCACTCCGATGAGCTGTTCCAGTCAGTGGGTTCTTCTCCCTCCACGGACTCCTTCATGATGGAAGGTGAGGAAAGAATATGTTTGCATTCACTCAAGTTTCTCTGAGCAGGTACTGAGGGGGATACTTTCTAAGGGAAAGCAGAAGACCTGAAGCATCTTCTTTTGTTGTTTGTAAAAGAAGACTGATCCTAGGATGTACTTGGTATGCATTCTGCTTTGGAAAGGAAGGAAATTTTAGTCCCAATAGAAGCAACCAGATAATGATTAAGGAGATAGAATACACTTATTAACTGGACATATTCTTGAAAGAATAGGTTATACACACAATAAAGATACAATGGACTGCATTATACTGTACACATTATAGTATTTACAACATATTACACACACTGTATTATATAATACAATGTATTGCATGTTTATTATTAAAATATATTGTAGTTATTGATGGAATAAAATAGCATCCTATATTAAAATATAGTTACTGTAATTCATTTGCATTCATTTGTCTTGTCACTGAGTGACAAGTAATTGAGGAATTGGTTTTCAGTACCCAAGTTGTATCAGTAAGGAGATCCAATTGGGAGGAGAGTAATGATAGGAGGACGGAGCTCTCCCAGATCCTGGGTCTTTAGTCTTTTGTCCTCTCTTCTTTTACTGCCATTGAGTTGGAGTTTCTTTAATGAGTGCTGTGTAGGGCAAATGAAGTCTAGATTTTCAGAAGAGCATTTGTATATCTGAGTCTAATTCTATCAGAAAACTCTTATTTGTAACTTAGATCCTTCCAGTCTGCTTTGTGTCTTGCCAACTCAAGATAAACTCAAAATTCAGACCTGAAAAACTGTGCAAATTAACCCGGGCAAAAGAAATCACTGGGTTTAAGATTATGTGAGCACATGATGGGCTCTGAAAAGCAACAAAAACAAAACTAAAATAGAGGGTTGAGCGTGGTGTCACACACCTGTAATCTCAGCACTCAGGAGGTGGGACAGGAGGATCACAAATTCAGGGTCTGGTTGTACTGCATAGTGAGATCTGCTTTCAGCCCAGCCAAGCCAAGCCAAGCAAAACAGAGTAAAACAACACACACACACTAAAATAGAGCAAGCCAAAACAAACAAAAGAGGCCTCAATTTTCTTACTTTTCCTCCATGGATGCAGTCACTCTGTCAGTGTCTGATTCTTCTTTGCTCTCATGAAAGCTATTTTGTCCTGCTTTGGGCATTTTCGGAGGTTTCGCCTCCACCATGCAAGTGTTTGCTTCTGTGTGGCTCATAGGTTGGTTTCACATGGTCTGTGCTGTGTATGTGACCGTACTTTTGTCTTTCCTTTGCTAACCCCATCTTAGATGTTGTGGATTCTTCACTGTGGAGTGACCTGAGCAGTGACACCCAGGACTTTGAGGCAGAATCTTGGAGCCTCGTGGTGGATCCTTCATTTTGCAGTCGGCAGGAGAAGGATGTCATCAAAAGGCAGGATGTCATTTTTGGTAAGCGTGCCACCTTTCCTTCCCTTCCCTGTGTGCAGAGTGCAAATAATGACACTCCAGCTTCAAATGTACTTCTCAGGCTTAGATGCAGCATAGCATGGGCTGGTATGAGCAAATGTAACACACCAGGCTCTCTTTGTGTTTCCTGAGTCTGGGCCTGTACTTTCTGGCTGCTGCATGTAAGGCAGTGAACTTCTATTTTATGAAGGGTGGTAGACAGGATGCTTGTCTGGTGGCCCAGACAGTGGCTGCATCCATCAGGAGCCAGGGATGGGTATAGGAAAAGTTCAGCTATGTGCTGAATTCTCTGTCCATCCTTGGAATGTGATTCAATGAGGAGATTTCACTGTTTTATGGGGCTGGGCTACATTATAAACCAATTAGGGAAAATGAAGTTAAAATATCTAAGCCCAGAGTAGATGTTAACAATTAGTTTAAAGGGATCTAGTAAAGTGTCTCACATCTGTAATCCTAGCTACGTAAGGGAAAATGTGTTTCAAGGCCATCTCAGATAAAAAAGGTAGAGCTCACTTCACCAGACAAGTCTCAACTATATGGGAAGTATAGGTAGCAAGACTGAGGTTCAAAGCCAGACCTGATTTAAGATGCTATTCAAAAAATAACTAAAACAAAAATGGGCTGATGGTGTGACTCAAGTGGTAGAGCACTTGTTTTGCAAGTACGAGGCTCTGAGTTTAAATGCTAAAATTGCCAATAAGAAATTTAAAAAGTACTTTCAAAGACAATTACTTTAAAGATGAGACAAGCTCTTCACCTCCCTGGCCCTTTGCTGTCCCTTGCTAAGGAAGCCCCTCCCCCCCCACCTGCAGCAGGTGGTGGTCACATGGGTCAGGTGAGATGGTGATGTATCGCACACATTTAGATTACACTGTCCTTCAGTTACCTCTCAGTCTCATGTATTAAAAATAAGCTGATCCAAGCCCAGGCATTGGTGGCTCAGACCTGTAATACTAGCTACTCAGAAGGCTAAAATTGGAGGATTGCAGTTCAAAGCCAGGAGGGACAGGAAAGTCAGTGAAACACTTTAACTACAACAAACCACCAAAAAGCTGTAAGTAGAGCTGTGGCTTAAGCAGTAGAGTGCTAACCTTGAGCAAAAGCACAGGACAACTCTCTGGCTCTGAGTTCAAGCCTTAGGATGGCACACACACACATATAAAAAGCAAAACCAAGCATCCATTTGGAATGAACTGTCACATCAGCATGGCCTTTTGTGTCAGAGAGGCCTGTGTTTGAGACAAAAGCCTCCCTTTCTCTTTTCCTCACTGTTTCTCTTTTAAAAATGAGGAGGACTTGGAAGGTGGCTCAGTGGTAGAGCGCTTGCCTTGCATGCATGAGGCCCTGGGTTCGATTCCTCAGTACCACATAAGCAAAAAGAAAAAAGCCGGAAGTGGCACTGTGGCTCAAGTGGTAGAGTGCTAGCCTTGAGCTGAAGAGCTGAGGGACAGCGTCCAGGCCCAGAGTTCAGGCCCCACGACTGGACCCCCCCCCCAAAAATAAATAAAAATAAAAATGAAAATGAGGAAAGTGGGGTCTGGGGGTACATGTCTCTGTTGGTAATCCTAGCACTCCGAAAGGGAGGAGGAGGATCAAGAGTTCAATGCCAGCCTGAGCCACATAGTGAGGTTATGTATGGGAATGCAAGTCTATTAGTAGTTCACTTGTCTAGAATATGCAAAGCTCTAGATTTGAATTCAGAAACTCCTCCCTCCCCCGTTACACATGAAAATGAAGAAAATTGTTTTGGCTTTGAAAGTCATAATAAGTAAATGAGTTAAATAATTAAATGAAATGACATGAGCAAGTACTTAACACAAAAATATAAAAATAAATAACTGTTGTTTAGTAAATAGGGTTTAGAGGAGGGAGGATAAGAGAGAATTTGATAACAGTACATTATGTGCATGGCATTGAAATACCACAATGAAACCCTTTTGTACAGTTAATATACTCTAATAAAAATGGAGTTAGTGAGTCTCAGTGACAGAGTTTTTAATGATAAAATAATAATGCTATGCTTAGACTTATTTCCTCTTCATGGCTGATGCTTTAGATTCTTTCCTAAGACATACAATGAGTCTGGAAATCCACATGCTACGTAGAACTTGAACTTCTAGTATTCCCACTCGTTGTGACTTTCTCTTTTCTCTTATGATGCATCAAACAGAGACATCATAACCTAAAATCCATACCTAGGCAGTGTACAGCTAATCATTTATAGGGTAGCCACAGAGCTGCATAACCTTCAAGCATTATCTAATAGCAGAATGTTTGAATCCATGCAAAAAGAAAACTTACAACAGTTAACAGACACTTCCTGTCTTCCCTTCCTCCAGTGACCACTGATCAACTTCTGACAGTAAGCATCTGTTTCGGTTATTTCACATAGATGATACAATATGTGACTGCCTTCGGTCATCAAGCATGATTTCAAGGTTGATCGTACCTATCATTTAACTAGTACTCTCTACCTTTATGTGGCTGACTAATATTTCATTTTGTTCATCATTAGTTGATGGATGCTAGGTTGTTTCTACTTGGAGTGTGCTATGGCAACTTCCTTTTAATCTTTTGAGGAATTGCCAGGGTATTTTCTAAAGCAGCTTCATCATTTTACATCCGCAGCGTCATCCTTGTAGGAGGGGTTCAATTTCTCCACAGCCTCACCAACACTTTCTTTCTTATTGTACATGCAATTATCTCAGTATGTGCGAAATGATTTTAATTTGCATTTCCCTAAGGACTAATGATGTTGAGGTTTTTTTTGTGTGTGTGTGTTGGTGCTGGAATCTAACCTAGGGTCTTTTTCATGTTAAGCAAGCCCACCACCCCTGAGCTATACCCTGGCCTTATTGAATAGCTTTTCATCTGCTTATTGGCTATTTGTATATCTGTGTATCATTTTGGAGAAATGCCTTTTAAATGCTTTACCAATTTTTTTTTTTTTGGTCCAGTCGTGGGGCCTGAACTCTGGGCCTGGGCGCTGTCCCTCAGCTCTTCAGCTCAAGGCTAGCGCTCTACCACTTGAGCCGCAGCACAGCTTTTTTCTTTTTGCTTATGTGGTGCTGAGGAATCGAACCCAGGGCCTCAGGCATGCAAGGCAAGAGCTCTACCACTGAGCCACCTTCCCAGCCCCAATTTTTTTTTTTTTAAGTTTTGAGTTGTATGAGTTTTTAAATGAAGTCTGGACACCAGTTCTTTACTAGGTTTATGCTTTACAAATATTTTCTCTTATTCATTGTACCATCTTATTCACTTTGTTTGATGTCCTGTGATTCTGATGTACTATTTTCCTCTGGAGAAAATTGATTTTTTTTGAGACAAACCCTGAGACAGAAAGAACCTATTGTTTGTTTGGAGGGACTTTATCCTATTTAATTCAAATACATTGGGCTTAATCAATGTGGATTAATTAATCCAAAGAAGGAAAGAAACCCCCTCTCCTCCCCAGTCATTTAGATAGGAGTATGACATAGCTTCCAGTGGAAGGACTTAAAGATGTTAGGTAGTTATACTAGCTAAATTTTTAATAAAGATTGACTCTTACTTATTTTTTCCCCTCAGTTCTGAGGATCAAACTCAGGGTTTGTGCTAGCTAGGCAAGTGCTTTATCACTTAAGCCACACCTACAATCCTATTGCTTTTAGTTTGTGTTTCAGATGGAGTTCAGCACTAACTTTGCATGGGCTAGCCTCAGACCTCGATCTTCCTACCTCCACCTCCTGAGTAGCTGGGATGACAGGTGTGCAACATCACACCCAGCAGTGCTTACCTTTCTATTGGAATATTTTTTCCTATTATTCCTAAACATTCTGTCCTTCTGACTTGTGTTACATAGAATCTTGGACTGCTAATTTAGGCCATCATGACTTGTATGTTAAGGCTTGCTTGAACATGTATCTGCTCATACATTTCAGAACTAATGCAGACAGAAATGCATCATATCCAGACCCTGTTCATCATGTCTGAGATCTTCAGGAAAGGCATGAAGGAGGAACTGCAGCTGGACCACAGCACTGTGGACAAGATCTTCCCCTGCTTAGATGAGTTGCTTGAGATCCATAGGCATTTCTTCTTCAGTATGAAGGAGCGCAAGCAGGAATCATGTGTTGGCAATGACAGGAATTTTGTGATCAATCGAATCGGAGACATTCTAGTACAACAGGTAAGAAGGGGTTAAAGGCCTGGTATCCAAACACTGAAGGTTTGCAGATTTTTTTACAATGTTAAAAAAAACCCAAAGCTATGGATAAATGGAATTGATTTCATACAGTTATGGCCAGATGAGGTTGAGTTGGTTTTATTTGATGTTGGTTGATGCTGATTTGCATATTGGATGTCAGAGCATCTAAGAGCCAATGGCTTATTCCCTTGTGTGTCACAGGACCTACTGCTGCCTCCACCAGGAGTCAAAATTATAACTGAACCTTCTCCTGAGACATTTTGAGGTGATGGGCTGTCTGAGAATATGGCTTTGCCAGTACACCTGTGATACTCTCATGGGTGTCCTCAAGACAAATTCTGGCTCATCTCAGGGAGGAGGAGGCAGATCTGTGATTAGCACTCCAGAGTTCATGCCTGTAGACAAATATCACTTTGATTGCTTGTGATGTTTCAAGCATCAGTTGAAGTGGACTGTGCTATCTTTTCCTTTTTTTTTTTTTTTTTGGTTGGTCATGGGGCTTGAACTCTGGGCTTGGGTGCTGTACCTCAGCTCTTCAGCTCAAGGTGAATGCTCTACTGCTTGAGCCACAGCACCACTTCCGGCTTTCTAGTGGTTTATTGGAGATAAGAGTCTCATGGACTTTCCTGGCCGGGCTGGCTTTGAACCATGATCCTCAGATCTCAGCCTCTTAGTAGCTAGGATTACAGTGAGCCACCGGCGCCTGGCCTTAAAGATTTTCTTTTCTTTTTTTTTGTCAGTTGTGGGGCCTGAACTCTGGGCCTGGACATTGTCCCTCAGCTCTTCAGCTCAAGGCTAGTGTTCTACCACTTGAGCCACAGCACCACTTCCAGCTTTTTCTGCTTATGTGGTTCTGAGGAATTGAACCCAGGGCCTCATGCATGCAAGACAAGCACTCTACCACTGAGCCACCTTCCCAGCCCTGACTGTGCCATCTCTTAATACAGCAACCATCACCACCTGCTCTTGTCTAGAGGACATTGGCCCCCAGACTGGCTCTTGTTGAAAACATGTTCATAGCTGGGTGCTGGTGGCTCTTGCCTTTACCCAGGAAGCTGAGATCTGAGGATCATGGTTTGTAGCCAGCTGGAGCAGGAAAGTCCCTGAGACTCTTATCTCCAATAAACCACCAGAATACCGGAAGTGGTGCTGTGGCTCATAATGGTGAAGAGCTACACTTGAGCAACAGAACTCAGGGACAGTGCCCAGCCTGAGTTCAAGCCCTACAACCAACAAAATAAACAACAAAACAAAGAGATAGTATACATCCATTAAGTCTAATAACTTTCATAACAAATGTGGGCTAGATGTGATTTTCCCCATTATATACTTATGAATGTATGACTGGGTATCTAAGATTTTGTTTAGTCATTGCATATTTGCAAGGTGACATAACTGGGAATTGAATAAAAATCTAATCTTTGATTAAGATGAGCTATTCTGTCATACCTTGGAAGCACTGGCTGTCATTAGTCTGTCAGCTCCAAGATGTCTGTCAGGCATCTTCTTTGTTTCGTTGTTGCCAGATTTCAGCATGTACAATGGTACTGAATATTGATACCCTGATTATGTAATGAATGAGTGGGTACTTGTTAAAAAGCAACACCAAGAATTCACTTGAATGCTGTTTTGCAGGGGCTCACAGGACTCAAAGAGAGGCCTGGAGATTCATCCATATTTTTTTAGTACAGCTTTATCTAGGTAGATACTAAAGTGACATCTTAAAAAAATACTAAGTTTTGACTCAATTTCATTCTGTTATATGTAGCAATGAAAACTGTTAGATAGGGAAGTCTGCATATATATATATTTATATATATATGCACACATAATTGTAGTGCTTGAGATTGAACTTCATACTTGCTAGGCAGGTGCTCTACCACTTGAGACAGGCCCGTGACTTCTTTTTGCTTTAGTTATTTTTCAAATATGGTTTCACTTTTTTGTTTTGGTTAGTTGTAGAGCTTAAAATCAGGGCTTAGGCAAAGCCTCTGAGCTGTTTTGCTCAAGGATAGTGCTCTACCACTTTGTTCCACAGCTCCACTTCTGTTTTTCAGGTAGCTAATTGGAGCTAAGAGTCTCACAGACTCTCCTGCCCAGGCTGGCTTTGAACTGCAATCCTCAAATCTCAGCCTTCTGAGTAGTTAGGATTACAGAGTGTGAGCCACCAGTGCCCAGTTTAAGGTCTTACTTTTTTTTGCCTGGGCCAGTCTGGAATATCATCTCCTATTTAAGCTCTCCAGACAACTTGGATGACAGAGTACACTGCCATGCCAAGCTTCTTGTTGGTTGAGATGGGATCTTGAAAACATTTTGCCTGAGCTAGTTGTGAACTTTGATTCTGCCCATGTCAGATCCCAAGTACCTGTGATTACAGGCATGAGCCACCATGCACAGCTTAAATACACACATTTTAAATACACAGAAACAAGACACAAAATTTGTTTAGTAAATACTCTTACATGTTTAATCAAGTAAAAGTCCATGTTACTAGTGACAGGTTTAAAAAATTATTTTGTCATTTCCATTTTGAACTCAAGAGTCTAATATTTCCAAGGAAACTGCTTTATCACTTGAGCTGCACCTCAGACCTTATTCATTTTAGATTATTTTTCAGATAGACTTTATGCTTTTGCCCATTCTAGCTCTGGACCATAATTCACCTACTTATGTCTTCTGTATAGCTGGTACTAAAGGAATGTTCCACCATGCTCCAGTAGCAGCTTGTTTCTCCTTCCTTCCTTCCTTCCTTTCTTCCTTCCTTCCTTCCTTCCTTCCTTCCCTTTCTCCCTCTCTCTCTCCATCCCTCCTTCCCTCTTTCCCTTCCTCCTTCCCTTCCTTCCTCTTTTCATTCTTTCCTTTTATCTTCTTTGGTAGTACAGGGGTTTGAAATTAGGTGTGTTTGCCAGACAGAAGTAGTACCACATCCCTAGCCTTAGTTGTTTGTGCTATTTTTGAAATTAGGTCTCAACAATACATAATAAGTTTTGTGATAGAAAAGGTATCTGTTTTTAGCTTAGTGCTCTAACTGTTCTGTTCTGATAGCTCATTCAAACACATGGTGCTTAGTAGTAAAGCTAAGCTAAGTGACTATGCAATACTTTGCAAAACACTTTGAATACTAATGTCTGCATATGTTCAAGTAAACTTAGGAAGGTGAGTGCATTAAAAGAATTTTAATTTTATCATTTGAAGCATTTGGATTTCTCTTTTCTTGATAAAGAAAATCATGGTTTTATTCTGCTTTAATTCAAAATATTGAAACCATGTTTTGCTCTTGTATTCCTTTCATAGTTACAAAAACTGTATATTTCTGTCAGATCTACAGTTACTTAATTTCTGTAAATAGAGTAGTGGCTTAAATTGAGAATAGCGTTTGGGATGTCTGTCATAGCCAGAGACTGATAGTCACCTGGAAAGCGTCATCAGCGAAAAGGACTAGAGTCTGCTCTTGTGTTCTTTGTTGGCTGTGCATAGGGAAGTATAGCTAAATCTCTTGAAACTTAGTGTAAGGAATTGGTAAACTTAGGTAAGGAATTTTGTGATGGTGCTTTGTAGGACTGAAAGAAGAGACAGCAGTTTAAGAATGCATGATGGGGGCTGGAAAGGTGGCTCAGTGATAGAGTGCTTGCCTAGCATACATGAAGCCCTGGGTTTGATTCCTTAGTACCACATAGGCAGACAAAGCTGGAAGTGGTTCTGTGGCTCAAGTGGTAGAGTTCTAGCCTTGAGCAAAAGCAGCTCAGGGACACTGTCCAGCCCTGAGTTCAAGCCCCAGGACTGGCAAAAAAAAGAAAAGAAAAAAAGAAACAATGCGTGAGAATATGTGCATAGACCCGGGCTTCTAATCTTGGAAACTCCATGTGGTCTCAGGAGGCAACGGGTATGAGCTGATCAGCAGGAATTTGGTCTTGGTGAGAAGGGGATGTGATGTAAAGCTTTTCCAGCTTCAATTGCATAAAGATCCTAAGACTGTTAAAAATCAGTATTCTGTGCTCCAAGTCTTAGTGGACTTATTTCTTCAAAATTAGATTTTTACATTGTTTTAAAAATTGTCTTTAAAAAATGGTCTCATCCCACAAATCTACAATACAATATTACAATCGGGATTCTAACAGTGATATGGCAAAAATAGAGAATATATCTACTTTAAGAGTTCTCTGTCTGACCTTTTGTACTTATACTTATTCCCTTCCCACCCTCATTTCCTAGCTAATTCCTAGTCACTAATCTGTTTATACTTTCCATAATTTTACTAGTTAAATTTTACTATTCAGTGGAATTAAATAGTGTATAATCTTTTGAGAATTGATTTTCTTCATTTGCAAAGAATGTTTTGAAATATATGAAAACTACATGCTCTTTTCTATGTTGACATCTGCCATATTTACAAACCATTATTGAAATGTCATTCTCAGTTTTCAGAAGAAAATGCAAATAAAATGAAGAAGATATATGGAGAATTCTGTAGCCATCACAAGGAAGCTGTTAGTCTCTTTAAAGAACTCCAACAGAATAAAAAGTTTCAGAATTTTATTAAGGCAAGTATTTTAAAATTTTATTGAAAAGTGGTAAACCAGCATGGGAAAATAATTCAGGTTGTATTTTGTTTTATTTAGATAAGTTTAACATCTAGGTTCTTGGTTTTTGAGAGGAGGAGAAGGAAGTGGTAGATTTGTAGCAAACATTTCTGTGTCAGTAAAGTATCTCCCCAAACCCATGCCTTTGGTGTTTGGTATTTGTGAGGTCTGTCCTCCAAACTTCTTAGAATTCTGAGTTTTCTGTTTTATACCCTGACAAGCTGTAAGATCAGAAAAAAAAAAAAAAAAAACCAAACACATAATATACCCTACTCCTGTGTATTTGTTTTAGACTGGATTTAATTTCCTTTAAAGTAAATCCAGGGTATTAAGAAATTTTATCTTTAATAACCTCTAAAAACATCTTTAAAAGTATCATGTTGACATGATCATACTTAAATAAATTAGCAATAAATCTTTGATATCTTCAGATTTCAGTGTTTACCTCATGATACTGCAATATAAGTTTATGGATTTGACCAAAACCTTGGTTAGAACCTGACCATTGTTCACAAATTGCATCTAGTGGTTCTGTCTCTTAGATCTCTCTTAAATGTTTGCCCTCGAAATCTTGGAGCACTGGGTTAATGAATTAATGACAAAGTATAAAATTTAACAATAATAAATTGTTTAAATTAATGTAGATAAATGTCAGAATAAAATCATACACTTTTTTTTGCTTTTGGGTTTTTATGTCAATAGATAGGGAAATACAAGTAGAGTATAAACATATAAAAATGCATGTATTTTTTAAGCTCCGAAATAGCAATCTTTTGGCTCGACGGCGAGGAATTCCAGAATGCATCCTCCTGGTTACTCAGCGCATTACAAAATACCCTGTGTTGGTGGAAAGGATTTTGCAGTACACCAAGGGTGAGTGACTGATCCTGGGGTGCCATGGACCTCCTATTTGTTGGAGACATAGCTGAGGTATCCTAAAGGGTTGTATAAGTTTGTAAAGAATACAGTCATAAAAGTCAATGCATACCTGGGCACTGGTGTCTAACATCTGTAATCCTATCTACTCAGGCTGAGATTTAAGGATCACAGTTCAAAGCCAGCCCAGGCAGGAAAGTCTGTGAGACTCTTACCTCCAATTAACCACCAGCAAACTGGAAGGGGCGCTGTGGCTCAAGTGGTAGAGCACTTGCCTTGAGCTGAAGAGCTGAGGGACAGCGCCCAGGCCCAGAGTTCAAACCCCACAACTGACAAAAAGAAAAGAAAAATCAATGCCTGTCCTACAAAATTAACAAAGGAGGAGAGGGAGGGAAGAAGTTGACTTGGAAGGGAAGGGGAGAAAGATGAAAGGGGTGAAACTGATCAAGATGCATTGTGTTCATTAACTGCTTTCTTCAATGGCAACTCCTTTATACAGCTATTTAAAAATAATTAAAAAAAAAACAAATGAACAGTTGAGATGTCCTAAATAGCTATATATCTTTATGGCCTTTGATTGATAAAGATTTTTTTTTTTTTTACTATGAGAAAAGTGTTAAACCCTTAGAATTGGAATTCATTTTGAGAAATGAGCTTTTATAATGCAACTGTCTCATAGTCTGAGTTCTAACATTTTTTTTTCGTAAGAAGGTATCTAAGTGAGTAGACACGCATATTTTATTCTTTTCATTTTCAGACACATTTAGAACAAAGTCTTTCAAGTAAGGAAGTATCTATTATATATATCATTTTTTATTGCGTCTTATAACTTAATATACAAGAGTATAAAAATTGCATAAAAACAAAGCTCCACACATTTTGTTGTCAGCAAAAGAATGAGAGCAAAATTGAAGGCTTCTCAGTTTATATATATAGTCTCTCTTAAATTTAACATAATACCTTAAGGACTAAAATATGTCACATTTTGTTAGCCAACTTATGCTGCTCCAAGATTCATCCCAAGCCACACTGCTGATAGGCTAGACAACAACACTGGCTGACTGCATGCCAGAGCTGAGATGGCAAGTATGGCTTCTCCAGGGAAGTCAACATGGTGTCAGGGGCAGACGGGACGTTGGTACGGTCGGTCAGTCACTCCCTGGGCTTCGGGGATAGGACTCACATGGATCTGTTATAGTAGTAAACCCTAAACTACAAGTTCCATCCCATTTCCTGGGGCCCTTGAGACATGAGGACCCTTGAGACAGGAGGTCCAGTAAGACTCCCAGTGCTGTCATACTCTGAGTAGGAAGATTTTACAAGACAGTAATTTGTCAAAAGATGGAGGCTCTTCTTGTTTTTATTACAAATCACTTTATAGCTTTAGCTTGATTTTTCTCTACTTGGTTTGCCTTAGCTGTGAAACAGTTTAGAAATAAGGACTGATTTTACTTTACCTCTGTGGGGGTGAGATAAAGTAGTGAGGTGTGGTCTGAAAACTGTTGCTTGGGAAGATGGGGGTACTGAGATTTTCTTGTACACCTGTGAAGACACTGAAATTCTGGAAGTGGTTAGCTCCTTTGGGGGACTGGTTCTCACTCCTCTTGATTGGTCTTTGTGAGTGCTACTTCTGAGGCTGGAGGTTCAGAAAAAAACTGGATTCTCTGGCAGCTTTCCTTTCGTCCTCTCCCTTTAGCATTCCAGGTCAAGGCACCTCAGTAAACATCAACTAGCTGATGGTTATCATCAAACACAGAGGATAGCTAAATTCACTTTCATCTCCAGTTTTAGGAGACTGTTCCAGAAACTCCTCCAGACTATTTTCTTAAGGTAATCTAGAGATGAGACCAAGCGGTCTGGGTTTTAGAAAAGACTGGCATTGATAGTTATCTGCTTGGTTGGCTGGATGGCTTGCTTGCCTATTAGGCACAGAGCCTCAGTGCCTGGAAAACATTCCAATTTCTTTCACAGTCAGGGAAAAAAAGACATCCTAGATCAAAAACAGTTTTAATTATAATATTAATATATTTATATTCATGCCAATATAGTTGTAAAATGTAGTTTGGAATATTGTTCTTATGGAGGTAGGGATCTAGGAAAGCAGATGAGTGTGAAGCTTATTCGAGGTACCCCATGACCCACTTTCCAAGGGATGCAGGATTGACTCCATAGCTGGGTTTAGCTCAGAAAGGTGGTGTGGGAATTGCCTGGTTATGTGTTTGGAAAGAATGAAGGGAAGCCCAGCTTAGTCTCTGACTCTTTCTGCAGAGGGAAAATCATATTCATGTCTTGAGCTCCCCATATCTTATCATCAGTGAAAGCATATTTAATAATGCAAATCTTTGATAATGGAATATTTTAGTGACAGAGAGTGCAGAGTGATAATACAGTATTATACAGTATCTGAATTTAAATTTTTGAATGAATTTTTTTTTTGTTATTTGGATGAGACATCCAACGACATTTAAAGACTAAAGAAAAAAATTCCTTCTTAGCACTGTGGCTCATTGTATTTTCTTTCTTTCTCCTCGTGCAGAAAGGACCGAAGAACATAAAGACTTATGTAAAGCTCTTGGCTTAATTAAAGACATGATAGCAGCCGTGGATCTAAAGGTTGACGAATATGAGACAAATCAAAAATGGCTTGAAATCCTCAATAAAATCGAAAACAAAACCTACACGAAGCTCAAAAATGGCCATGTGTTTAGAAAGCAGACCTTGATAAGTAAAGAAAGGACTCTGTTATATGATGGTCTTGTTTACTGGAAAACAGCTACAGGTCGCTTTAAAGGTACTGGGGCTCAACCAGATCAATTTCTCCTTCTTTTGTACTCATTATTTGTTCAACAGAGGACAGGTTTCAAAAGAAAACTGGTTCGGGATGGTAGGCATCCATACACAAACCCTGGATTTTTCAGTTGAAAGATCAAGGTGTGCAGCTCAGTTGGCAAGGGTGACCAGTGATAAGAAATCTTTGATGCGAGTTGGCTGCCCCAAGCAAAAACCATCCTATATGCTTTTTAAAATCAATTTGCCAGTTTGTGATCTGAAATCAAAGGAGCCAAGAGTTCTGCTTATGGTTGGCACAGAAACATTATCATGGCAAATGTGTTGTATAGAAATCCTGACAATACATACCTACACAGCAAGGGACAGTTGTGTGCCTAGCCAGTCTGGGGCTGGCAGATGATCTAGGAGAAATATAGAGACTCCAAATGTCATTTTTGTTATTAACACAGCCATGCTGGCCCTAGTACCTACTTTTGCAGTGCTAGTGTTTATTAACAGGCGTTATTGACTCTTTGAATCTGCAGATTTATTTTGATTCTTAAGGACTGATCAAAATAAACTATAATCTGATTTCTTTCCTCCCCCTCCCACCTGTCCATTCCTCTATACTGATGATGGTGACTGTATTCGCCCATTATTCCTTTCTATTGTTTGTTCTCTCCCCACTAGCTCCCTACAACTCCAGCCCCATCAAGACATGTTTCAGCTCCTTGATATTTATTTTTAAAGTCTTTTTTTAAATTAAATTTATTTCAAGCTAGATGGTGGCTTATACCTAGAATCCTAGCTACTCAGGAGGCTGAGATCTGAGGATTTTGGTTCAAAGCCAACTTTGGCAGGAAAGTCCGTGAGACTATTATCTCTATTAACCACCAGAAAACTGGAAGTAAAACTGTGGCTTAAAGCAGTAGAGCACTAGCCTTGAACAAAAGGAATACAGAGACAGTACAAAGGCCCTGAATTCAAGCCATTCAACTGACAGTAAATAAATAAATAAATAATAAAAGCATCTGGACTCTAGTTTGCATCATTAATACTAAGAATACTTCCTTTTTTCCCCTTTGAAGATATCCTGGCTCTCCTTCTAACTGATGTGCTACTCTTTTTACAAGAAAAAGACCAAAAATACATCTTTGCAGCTGTGGTAAGTATATGACTACATACTGCATGCTTTTTTAAAAAATAGGTTTTATCCTACACTTTGTTGAAAAATGCCTGAAATTCCTAGCAAAATAAAAGAGTCACTGGCAAGATTAGGTCCTATGATATCTGTATTATTAATAGTGATTTCATGCTGGCTCCCTAGTTAAACCAGTTGCCAAAATATTGAGGTGCTTTGGTATTGGTGGTAAAGAGACACTGCCTTTACCCCTGTGTCTACCTTCTGCCTGTTAGCTTGATCTTTTCTCCTGTTCCCCACCCCCATCCTCAGCACCATCCTCTTCCTTTATTTCTCACAACTCCTGTCCTACTGTCCTAGTGGACAGTGTCTTCATTATACTACTTGCTAACCAAACTTATGATGTTCTTTCAGCGTAATAAGATAATATAATCTAGTATCTAAAGATTTTTTCCTTGTTTCTGCTATAATGGCTTCTGACAACTGAAGTTGTTCATATAACACTGTCCATATAAGATTGTTTTATATAACTATGTTCTTACCTTGTGGTATGGCGACTAATCTCATTACAGATCATATAGATTTAGCCTAGCACTTAAAAACCAGTATTTTATAACATTTCTCATCTGTATAGCCCAAACGGCATAGCAAAGATGCTATCAGTCCATTGCTGGTTAATTTGCATCATGGAACACAGGTATTGTTAAAAAAAAAATAAAAGAAATCCAGGTCCACCAAGTACCATGTGCAGGATAGTAGACTTCCTTCAAAATGAGGTTCTTATGTACTGGATGTACATTAGTGGGTATCATTATCTCATCTGGGTTTGGGAAATTCAAAGCTTAATGACATGCTTCTGTTTTTCTTTGAAAACAAAGAAGAATGTCTTCCCAGGGATGGGATTAGAGGGGAGGAGGCTGGAGCTGGCCTCACCACTTGCCTGTGCTTGTAGCTTAGCCTGAGAATCTGCCTGCTGTTTTGTCCACTGCTTTAAGCTGCCCAGAAATGCTGAGTTGCACAAAAAAAAATTAAAGGAGGTAGCTCAGTGGTAGGGCACTTACCTCACATGCCCCAGGGTCCTGGGTTCTATTCCCTAATACCACAAAAACAAAACACAACAAAACAAAAAGCTCAAAGACTTCTTTCACAGAGCTACAGTAGAGGAAAACAAATATCCTTAAACAAGTTCCCATGTTTCAGAGTCCATGAACACATATTCATTTGTCCAGTAGTCTCTTTAGGCTGTAATCTGGCAAACTCGGAGGAATAGTTTCCTAGAGGAACAGGTGGAAAGGTGAAGGCCATTTTGTTTAACCTGGGAAATGTTGAGAGACAGACTAGAAAAGAAAATTCATATCACATGTTTGTGGAAGTAAGGATTTCTTCAATATCAAAGAACAGAAAGAGAAGTAAATCCTGCTGTCTTCATTTGAATTCTTGTTTGTTGCTATTAGTTTTTGTGTGAGTCAAATGAATAACTATGTCATTGGTCTACTAGTGATTTAATACCACTATCATTTAATGCTATTTTCTACCCTTTTATTTACTTTTAAAAGGCTTTCCTCTGCTGCCTCCCTTCCCCACAAACATTAACCAACTGATTCAAATAATTTCACTCTTGCTCATGTCTTAAGAAATTCAAAGCCAATCAGAGGTCACTTGCCCTGTAAGCTAAGGAAGCTCAAACCGTGCATCGAAACAGGGAGAACCCACAACACCTTAGAGAATAGATCCATAATAGTAGAACAAGGGATGTTAGCAATGCTCGGAGAACCACCTTCATTCAGAGGGCCATACAGCTGCTTTTCAGAGAGCAACATAGGACCACATAGACCAGTAGTCTGGTCCGCCATCATCTATAATTGTGTGTGTGTGTGTGTGTGTGTGTGTGTGTGTGTGTGTGTGTGTGTGTGTACTATAAAAGAAATATTCCAGGTACACCCTGACACATGATTCCAGATGTAGCACAGCTATGCAATGCTGGGAAGCTTGTTAAGTCAGCACCAGGAAATCAGCAGTGAGGCATAGAGTGGAATGTTCTGGATAAAGGCATCCCTCAGTCCATGAGGTAGGAATAAAACCACACACTTGCAGTCTTCTCCATAAACAGTGGTGGAAGCCACAGACCAAAGCAGAGTCTCTACACGCCCCCCCCTTCCCGCCCCCCGCCCCCATCCCCACACACACATTGCTCAGCCTGTATGCATTCTTGTGGTCATTCTTTCATCTCTAGATTCTCATCCATTTGAGTGTGATCAAATTGACATCCAGTCCCCACTGCTTGCACAGGGCACTGAAGAACCACAATTAATGTCGGGAGGGAGAGGTGATTTAGCGAGGTGTGGGCACCAAATTTTAGACTTTATTCTTAGGATGAAGTACAAGTTTGTTGATGAGTTTGAGCCATTCCTGCTCTCCAGTTACTCATCTGCTTGGTGAGAAGGAGAGATGTTGTCACAGGAGCTCTGTGCTTGGATCTGCAGAACAATAGGCTAAGAGCCTGGTGATAGCTGGAGACTCTTACATCTTCCCTCCTCATTCTTCCCTTGTATTTTGCAACCTGTCCTTTAGGTTTTGGGGTTCTTTTCTCATCACTATATGAAACTGTGCTTCTATTAGTGGCCAAATAAACAGATTCTTTTGATCCTTCATCATTTTTGGTTTTGTATAATATTTGATAGCCTATACTGTGAAATTCCTCCTCCCTTGACCACAACATTTTTGATTTTAGCTCTTGATATTTTTTTTTTTTGAGTCCGGTCGTGGGGCCTGAACTCTGGGCCTGGGCGCTGTCCCTCAGCTCTTCAGCTCAAGGCTAGCGCTCTACCACTTGAGCCACAGCGCCACTTCGGCTTTTTTCTTTTTGCCTGTGTAGTGCTGAGGAATCGAACCCAGGGCCTCAGGCATGCAAGGCAAGCGCTCTACCACTGAGCCATCTTTCCAGCCCCATAGCTCTTGATATTTTCTTACCTGATTTTTCTGTCTTTTAAAAAGTTATCCTTTAAAACCACCAATTCTTTTTTTTGGGGGGGGGGGTGGAAGAGGGGAAATAGTAACTGGGTTGAGCAGAGGGACTCATATTTCCTAGGCAGGCACACTACTGCTTGAACTCTCAGCCAATATTTGTTAGTTACTTTTAGTTATTTTCAGATAAGGTCTTGTGTTTTTACCCAGGGCTAGCTTGTGGCTGGGCTTGGACCGAAATTCTCCTGGTTATGCCTCTTGCATCATTGAGATGACAGCACCCCGCTCTTGGTTGAGATGGGGTCTCCAAACCTTTCTGCCTGGGCTGCCCTCAAACTATGATCTTCCACATTGTTGCCTTTAAAGTACCTGGGATTATAGATGTGAGCCACTGCTCCCAGCTCTGAAGCCACCAGTTCCTAAGAGCAAGCATTCCCTAGAATCCTCTCTTTCCATCCTGTCTTCTCCATTTCCCTTGGAAAACTTACCAGCTTGGCAGCTCTTTTGAAAAGATCAGGAGTGAGATGAAGGCCTTCTTATCCTGGTGGCTTCCTGGGCCCATGTATTGGGGTGACTGTGACGCTAGAGAAGGTGCAGTTTCATCCGCATGTCCTCCCTTTTCCCACAGGACCAGAAGCCCTCCGTCATTTCCCTTCAGAAGCTTATTGCGAGAGAAGTTGCAAATGAGGAGAGAGGGATGTTTCTGATCAGTGCTTCCTCAGCTGGCCCGGAGATGTATGAAATCCACACCAATTCCAAGGAGGAACGGAACAACTGGATGAGGCGGATCCAGCAGGCAGTAGAAAGGTAACGTTTCTTTCTGGCTGGAATATATGGAAGACACTTGTTCATTTGGGGAAAGATGTTCTAATCATGTCTTCCTCTGCTCCTGCTCTGCTCACACCCGTCATAGCACCTCACCTGCAGCCTTGTCCTCCGCTCACCTTCCTGCATGATGCTCACACCTTCCCTCCCCTCTGCCTGTGTGCTTGGGTGCAGCCCCTGCCTCATCTGCTTCTTGAAGACCTCTTCAGTCCAAGGACTCTGCCTTATCTCACGTGCCATGGCATCTGCTGTCTATGGCATTTATCTTGTGCTTGTCATACGCTGCCTTTTTATGTGTCTACATGTGTATGTGTATGTAAGTTTCATTAGACTGGAAGCTCCGCAAGAGCAGACATGTCCTATATTTCCTTTTGTGCCTAGAACTGAGCAGTCTTTCAATAAATGGTTTTAGATGGGTGGAACTCAGTGTTCTAAGTCAATGAATCCCTTATTACTTGAACGAGGACAGGTATTTTTGTTTTTAATCAATGAGGGTATAAAAGTGGGAGTTATATTCTTTATACTTATTTGAAGGGTTGGAGCTTGATACTTTACAAATTTCTCCACCTGCTCTGCATCCCTCCTGATAGGGTGCATAGTTCCATCCTCTCAACCCTGTTACTTTCCTTGCATGAAGAATAGAAGCTCAAGCTGATATAATAGTGTTCACTTGTCATTCCAGCATTCAGGAGACTGAGTCTGGGAAATATAGCTCTGGACCCCATCTTAAAACTTACCAAGTCAAAAACAAAAGAGATGCTCAAATGGTATAAAAGCCAAAATTTATTTTAATTGTAATGACTGCCTCTATTTGGTGGGGGAGGATTTGGAGCATTTGTACTTCTGACTTTGAGAGCCATGTTAGATTATGCAGGATCCTTTAAATATGCAAAAGAAAACCCATCTCTTGGCAAAGGTGTGCGCAGAGAATTTTATATGCTGAATTTTCTTGCCTCTATGAATAATTCTGTTACCAAGTTCCCATGTTTTTCTAATGAGCCCAAAGATGCTTGGATTGAGTTTCAGTTGTATGTCTTGACTGTTGCCTTTTAAAGCTGTCCAGAGGAAGATGGGGGACGGACAAGTGAATCTGATGAAGAGAGACGGAAAGCTGAAGCCAGACTGGCCAAAATTCAGCAATGCCAAGGTATGATGTGGGCACTTCAGGCTCCCTAGCTGTGGTGTTCTCCTTGGGCATGATGAAATTCCAGCTGCTATAGCAGGAGGCTATTGATTGTTTCTACCTGAAGCTCATTCTGGCCAGCCCTGACAACAGAGAAGACTTAGTGATTAACTGTATATGCATACGCACTAATACTTATGCACATCACAGATAGGAGACCATGATTGTGGGCAGTGTGGTATGGATGAGCATTGGACTTGCTGCCTGACAGTTTAGTTTTAGGTCTCAGCCCCATCATGTCATAGTTGTAAGACTGGATGAGGAGCCAAGAGGAGAAGCCTCCTGCAAAGCCCCAAGTCTCAGCTCTGGTCTCCTGTTAGAACACTTGGTGCCGTCATTAAAAATACTGCTACCTGGGCTCCTTGCTCAAACAGCTGTTTGTGGTTGGGGTGTAGACATGAATATTTAAAGCTCCCCTCCACAGAGGGTAGATCCAAAGGACCAAGGATCCCTGGATCAGATGATAGTCAAGGTTTCTGAGCTTGGTTCTTTCAACATGGTTCTCTACCATGTTGAAATCAGAGGAAAAAGATGCATGCAAAGATGGCATAAGAAACTGGATGTTTAGAAGCAGAAACATAAACCATGTTTGGTTTTGACCAAGACTGGCTGAAGCCTGAAGCCTCTGTGTTGCTTGCCCCTGTGGGCATTCACTCATCATGGGTAGGGCTGCCTCAATTTTCATTCCTGAGCTGGGTGTTTAGCCTTAATAGGAAACAGCCTGTATAAACAAAGAGTGGCTTTGCGAGGTTTTTCTGGAATTAGGGGAATGGAAAAGGAAACGAGCAGTTGTGGAGTGCTGTGAAAGTTGTGAAATCTCTGGCCGGAGACCACAGTCACTAAGTGGAAGAGTGGGGATTTGAACTGGAGTCTGTGCTACCCAGCAACACGTGCCTTAATCTTGTAGATCAGACTGTTTGCTAAGTCGCAACATCTTTAGCTCATCACTTGGACGGCTTATTAATGGTTCTATCCATCTTAGCGATAAGCTATGGCTCTTATTTCATAGAAATACTCAGTAACCAAGACCAACAGATTTGCACATGCTTGGAGGAGAAGCTGCATATCTATGCTGAGCTGGGGGAGCTGAGTGGCTATGAAGACGTCCACCTGGAGCCGCATCTCCTCATTAAACCCGATCCCGGGGAGCTCCCCCAGGCAGCCTCCTTACTGGCAGCAGCACTGAAAGAAGGTATGTTGTTCCGGGAAAAGATTTTGCTTGGCAGAGAATGCTTATGGCATAGTTATTCTGTGCTACTGTGGTTGGTCCTAGTGCTGAAATTATAGCAGAATAAGACAGAGAGAATGGGTGAGAATGTTGGAAGGGGAGACATTGATCCAAATCTATCCTATTTGTAAACTGTTTTCTGCAATAACAAAAAACTTCTTCATATAACTACTTAAAGATAATAATAATAAAAATTATAAAAAATAGTGACTGATGTAGAACTTATTCTAGAAACACTAAGATATAAAGAAAAGAAATGTGTCATGCTGAATCAAGGGCTATCCAGAAAAATAGGCAGAATAAGGAGTCTGGAGTGTGACAGGGCTGGATGCTTCTACTTTAGGTAGGATAGCCAAGGAAGGCTTCATTGATAGGATGGTTTGTAACCAGACATGAAGTAAGAAGGCTAAGTAATATATTAGAGTCTTCCAGATAGAAGGAATAGCAGAGACAGAGGCCTGAGGCAGATGAGTACCAGGCTTGTTTAGGACAAGAACAGTGCAGATAATATGAGGACTGGGTATGGATGGTACACTCAGTGAAAAATTCTATAGAGAAGGAAGTTGAAGCACTGACTAAAAGTGAGAATGGGCGACTTAGCCCAAGCTATCACTTGTGCCAGGTTATAAATCCATTGGCTTTGATTCCTTTGGCCCTTGGGTAATGAGATAGAGGTGTCAGGGATCAGCTGTGGACGAAATGTTAAAGAGAAGCCAATGTAGTGGAAGCACGGGATGGGCCACAGGGGGAAACCCACCCTGCACAGTCCATCCAACCCAACAGCAGCTAGAAGAATGAGCCAGCTTTGTCCTCTTGGTAGTGGAGGTAGGTGGAGGAATGGACCCAGGTCCTTCCATATGGTAGGCAAGGGCTTTGTCACAGTGCTGCAGGAGACTTCTCAGGGTCAACAGCTCCTGTCTGTAAAGAAGGCAGTTGAGTATACTCCTTGAACGGGTCCTAAAAAGATTTTGTGCTTATGTAGAATGTAAATTCCCTTTTCTCTTCTGGGACTCTATTATTAAAGGCAAACTGGGGAAACACACTTTTCAAGAATAGCTAGTATTTCTCAGTAACAGCTTAAAAAACTCCAATGTCTGATACTGAATATATATTAATAAAATTACAGGTAGTTTCTTAGCACACTGACTTTCTGAAAGTTACATTTGTGATCATTCTTTACAATGTGTTTTTGACTGGGTATATGTATGTGTACGTGTGTGTGTGTGTGTGTGTGTGTGTGTGTGTGTGTGTGTGTTTGCTAATTCTGGGGCTTGTACTCAGGGCTGTCCCTTAGCTTTTTCACTTAAAGTTCTCTCTTTGAGCCACAGTTCTACTTCTGGCTTTTTGCTGGTTGAGGGGCGAAGAGAGTCTCTTCTCTCTTATTTGTCTTCCCAGGCTACCGTCGAACTGAGATCCTCAGATCTCAGCAATAGTAATACAGGCATAAGCCACTGGTGTCTGGTGAGCTTTGACTTTTGAGTTTATTCTCTAGATTGTGCATCTGCAAAATTTTTTCTATAAAGGACTAGATTGAAAATATTTCAGGCTTTTCAGGTCACATCACCTCTGGCATCGCTCTGTGTGTGTGTGTGTGTGTGTGTGTGTGTGTGTGTGTGTGTGTGTGTGTGTGTGTGTGTGTGTGTGTGTGTGTGTGTGTGTGTGTGTGTTAAAGTCCTGGGCTCTATAAAAAAAGCACAGGGCAAATGCAACTTGCCAATTCTTGGTGTAGATTAAACTCCGCTTGTATTTGTGTGTTTTGTTTTGTTTTGTTTCATTGATCATTGCTGCACCTTAGCGGAGAGTCTGCAAGTTGCTGTGAAGGCCTCGCAGGAGCATGGGAGTCAGTCATCCGAGGAAGCCTGTGGGGAACCGCTCTCCACAGCCACACCTGGTTCTCAAGATGTTCCAGGCCTGCCTACTGCTCGTAAGTGAACACGCAGGCCGGGCACGGGGCCTCGGCTCCATTCCTGCAGCACATAGTGATCACATAAAGTGGAAGCAGGGACTCTCCCAGTTTGGAAGGAACTTAATGTATTTTTCATAAATGAAAAAGCCTGACATTAATTATGCTAGCTATAAATAAATATTATATATGTGTATTAGTAGTGCTGGTGTTCCAAGGACAAGGATTTAAAGATTAGCTGTTGTGTTACACTGCTTTGCTTTCTAGAAAACTGGTGCACCTCCCCCAAACCTACCTGCCTCAATTTTCATATGATTTATTGAACCCAATTTTGAAAGGACCTCTAAGTCATTTTTGGTTTTGAAGAAAGCACCTCTGAAGTCCATTGGAGAACAAACCCTTAATCCCATGGGGTACCAACTGAGAAGACATAACTCAGAAAACTAGTTTCTCTCTCTCTCTCTCTCTCTCTCTGAGATACCCAGACATAAACACAAACACACACATATACACAAACACACGTAAAGGCAGAATTCTCAAAAGAGTCTTTTTTATTTTTTATGTCTTTTTTATTTTTTAATGTTTTTTTATTGAAAAAATAGTATACAGAGGGGTTATAGTTACATGAGTAAGGTAATGAGTACATTTCCTAACTAGCATTGTTACTTCCTCCTTTGTTTTTCCCCTACCATCCATTCCCTCCCCACCTCCCTAACTCCCTTCTTCCCCCAAGTTGTAAAATTCGTTTTCAACATAGTGCCTTGTACATCTCATTGTTACAATGGGTCAACCTGTATCCTTGTTTTAGCATTTTGTTTTTTCCCTTCCCCTCCCCAAGTTAGAAAAATGTATACACAAGATGCAGGGTACTGACGTCAAATACAGTGAAAACAGGGGTTATACCCTGGGGGAAGAACATACAGGAGAAACAAAAAAATCACATAGTACATTTTAGATATATTAAAAACAATAGCAAGAAAGAAAAGGCCACTTGTGTCTCTATCTTGGGGTTCATTTCACTTACCATCATCTTATCTGGTCATATGTACATAGCTTCTGACCTTTTCTGCTTGTCCTCCACTTATACTAGTTATTGCAAATAAGGGAAACCGTGGGACCTATGTTTCTTGGGCCTGGCTTACTTCACTTAATGTAATTTTTTTCCAAGTCTTTCCATTCCAAAAGAGTCTTAATCTGTGTTATATAATTCAGATCAGAATTTGTTTATTAAAACACCATTCCAATTATTTTTCTTTTCTTTTTTTTGTTTTTTTGAGACAGGGTCTTATTATATAGCTTAGTCTGGCCTTGAGCTCACAGATCCTCCTACTCTAGCCTCCCTAATACTGGGATTACAGGAGTGTGCAGCCACATTCATCTGTCATATTTTAAATACAGAAAAGTAGAATGTAAAGAATTAGGTAATGTCTCAGAACCTAATTATACTGTTGTAGGTATAATTTTAAATCAAATTATGTAAAGGCTTCTAAGAGCATAAGGAAAGTATATTTTTTCATCATGTGTAGGTGGAAAGATACTACTTCCAAAAGAAATTATATACAATACGATTAGAATATCTTTAATAGCTAGAGCTTGTGGAGGCTTAAATTGATTTGGAATGTCTTTGACAATATCCCTTGGTTAAGTAAAATACATAAGAAGCAGTATCACTTTAATTCTATACATTTTTTATAGGCACCAATAATTATTCTTCCCCTCTCAAACTCTGCTTTATCTAATCCCAGACTTCTATTTTTGGCATATGCACATATGTTTTTCATTTTGACACAGCCCATATTCATCAGGGGAGTTGTACTGCCCTGGGTGATTTCCTTCTAAAAGAAGAACCTCATTATGCCATTGAGGAAGTTCTGTCTAAAAATACATGTAGGGATCTGCTGCTTTCTGCTTTACCCCAGAGACAGCTGAGGAAGCTCCACTGCTATGCAGCTGCTCAGAGCATGTGGCTGGTCCTTCCCTTCCTTCAGGCCAGCCAGTGAAGAGTCCCTGGCCTGTGTCCCTATCTCCCATGACTTGGTCAAGTTCCAAAGGGATGCCAGTGGCCGTCTGATGATCAGCTGGCAGGATCTATCAGTTCTGTGCTGGATTAGAGCATGGTGTTATTAGACTTTGACTCTCTACAAAGTTAAGAACAAAGGATTAGTCCTAAATGAAGATCCATAATGAATGGGTCACTTCTGTGATTGACTTTGAGGACTGGGTCCTTCTAAAGCCAGCTCATGTCAGTCTGAGGGTAATACACCAAGCAAATCCCTCTGATTTTAGTTCTTTGTACACTTAATGAAGTGTCCGAGGGTAAGCTACTGCTGTCATGGTTCTGCCATCTGGAACTTGATTCTGGTGAGCAGGAATTGGCTCCAGGTCTTCTGCCTTCATTTGGCTCAGCCTGGGCTACTCTCCATGTTCAATGGACTCGCTTTCTCTGAGGGAGTGTAGAGAGGAAAGAGACTGGTTAATTCTTTGGACATCCCTTTGACATCTCTCTTTAAAGAGTTAGAATAGGACCTAAACATGGAGCCATTCTTCCAGTGACAGAAAAATCAATACAAATTGTCCCTTTCCTATCAGGAAATAAATGTTGTCCTGCTTGGACACAATATCATTTCAAGCAATTTCTCCTCAAACAAAAACTTCCTTGTGTTAGAAATGGCCTGTGGAGTCCCGATAACTTTTGTTCCCCAAAGATAGAAGCAAGCAAAGAGTTTATTAAGTTAAACAAAGAGAAAACAGCTTCTCCATGGTGGTGGCTCATACTTGTCATCCTAGCTACTCAGGAGGCAGAAATATGAGGATCACAGTTTAGTGCCAGCCTGTGCAGAAAAGTTCATGAAACTTCTATCCCCAACAAAAAGCCAGAAGTGGAGACATGGCTTAAGTGGTAGAGCACCAACTTTGATTAGGAAAAAAAGTCAAGCGAGAGTCACACATGCATGCATGCACGCACAAGTGCGTGTGCGTGCACACACACACACACAAAGTTAAGGAGAAAAGGCGCTGTCTCTGTTAAAAATAAAGTTCCAAGGTGATGCCAAATTTTTAAAAAATTATAAAATATATCACAGATTGAAAATATTTTTAATTGGAGTCCTGGTTAGATGTTGTTCTAATGTATGGAAGGGCTTGGAAACTCTAGTGCAAGGCAAGCATAACTGAAATTTGAGCCGAGTTCCCATGGGTAAAGAAATAAGCAAAATCCTACCAATAGAGAGTTAATATGCAGAGAAATATGTCGTTGCTGGACTAGTTTTTGTGTTTTCATAGGTTCAGTATACAGTATTTACAGTGTTTGTGAATTTAAAGCCTGAGAAATGAAAGTACAAGACACTGGGCTAGATTCTCAGTCTGTGTGACTCTAGAGCCATAAAGTATTAGCCCTTTGGAGCCTTCACGCAAGATGCCTCCCCCATTTGCCTTTGGACCTTCTGTCTAAACCTTGTTTATCGGCTGCCACTCTTATATGGGTCTCCAGGGAGCCTTTTACAGGCCTGGGTCTGCCAAGAGACCTTGCTTTTGGTTCAACCACACCTGTTTCAAATATAACCTTCCCCAGGAGATGTTTTCCTATTAAGGGACAGTGAGAGGTAGCCTGTACCCTTTCCATACCAGAAACAACACAGTGACACATCTGTGCAAGAAAGAAGTAACAATAACAAGATGAATGGTTCTCGATGCTGTTTGTGAGTGTGTATCTTATTAGCATGTAAGCTCCATATGGGCAGGGACCAGGGGCTTCACTTTAGGGCCTCCCATGGAACATTCGAAATGTATATTGTGTGATGATTCTTCTTTTAAATGTGGGTCATCGGCTGTGTAAAAACAATGGGGTTGGCTGGCTGATGTTTGATGCTGTCCTTTTTGTTTCTGTCTCAATGGTGTGCATCCAGCACTAGTCACAGAAGGGACAGAAGAAAGAGGCTGTTGGGATCTGGATCCCGGGATCCAGGGTGTGGTAACAGACTTGGCCGTCTCTGATGCAGGGGAGAAGGTATTGTTAACAGATTTGTTAGTAAACAGCACCCGTTGCTTTTTGTATTATAAAACATTCCTGCCCCATGAGGAAGCAAGTGGAATGAATACTTCTCTGAACTGTTCTTGATTAATTTAAATACTCATATTTAAACTTCCTAATTTATTTCTTCTCTAAATGTCCTTCCTACGTCATGCTTGTGGGTGTTAAAAAGTTATTAAAAAAAGGTTGAAAATGCTCACGTGTATATGTGTATGTGCACTCTCTGACTTCCTGGTTTACCTTCTGCAGTGCAGACCCTTGCTTCTCCTGCTGTGTCTGGCTGCTGGAGAAGTTGGCTCTGAGCTTTGGGGTCCTATGCAACCAGATGGTGCTAATGGAGCTGAAATAATGTCTACTCTGGGATTATCCTGCTGCTTTTGTCTTCCTTGACCTTCTAGTCACTCTTCCAACTGTCTTCCCGCCACTACCCTCATCCTGCCTACTTTTTGGTAGATTTTAAATTCATATGGACAAGTTTTGCTTATGGCCAGGCAGCTCTGATGCTATTGCTTTTTTGGTTTGCCATCTATGTAGAATATCTTTTTTATGTGTTGCATATAGTAGAGAAATCAAGTCTGCATTTTAAAAAAATTCGCAGATAAGACAGCTGTGGTTTAATGTTCATTTTAAAATTTTACAGGCTCAAATGAACATGATATGAACATAAGCTTTTATTCTGATTGTAAGCACTCTAATGTATTTGTCTTAAAATGTTCCTTCTCATTCTTTTCAGCAGAGATAGCCATTTTATATGCTGAAGTGTGTAGCTTTCAAGTTATTAGAGAGGGGAGAGGAGGAGGGGGAGTGGATGTATGATGAAGGCAGGAAGGAGAGCTGGCCAGTGATAGTTTAATCCTGAATGGAACATATGTCCCCCCTACCATGATTCAGGCCACAGATGAAGTGATACTAACAATCTAGGTTCCCTTTTGGAACCTATACAGAAAATTCAGTCCTTCATATGGCATTTTGGGGAAACTAAATGAACAGATATAAGGAAAGATCACTTGAAACTAAACTTTAAAAAGTATATAATGATCTTCCCCAATAGGTAAGAGTAAACCAAGTTAAATAATTAAAAAACAAAAACAAAACCTCTAACCCAAAGAACAGAAATTAAATCACCAGATGCAAGTATGCAAAAGAACCACCAGGTGGCAGGCCAACTCTACTAAAAAGTATGCAATTTTTCTGACATTTCAAACCTAGTGGTTCTTGGATCTAACTACGTATATGTAACACAATACCAACTTATTTCTATTGTCTAATTTTTACAGAATATGAAACTCTACTACCATGTAGTCTTTTTTATTGCAAAAGCAATGGATAAAAACCCATTCTTTCCCGGACAGAGCCAGACCAGGAAAGAACTCTAGAACTCAATGGAACAAGAGTTCTTAATCCTGCTTAGGTCTGGGCACAGATCTAATTCATTGAAACTTAACTTCCTTTTACAGCCTTTGTTCCTTATCAGGAGCTGCTTGATAATGAATTATTGTTATTATTAATTTGGTGCCAATCCTGGGACTTGAACTCAGGGCCTGGGCACAGTCCCTTTGCTTTTGTGCTCAAGGCTAGTACTCTACCACTTGAGCCACAACTCCACTTCTAGCTTTTTTTTTGGTGGTTAATTGAAGATAAGAGACTCATGGACTTTCCTCACTAACCTGGCTTCAAAACACAATCCTTATATCTCAGCCTTCTGAGTAGCTAGGAATATAGGCATGAGTCATTGGCTCCAGGCAATAATGAAAAATTTAATTGGCAATATGAGGGAAGAGGAAATCTGGCTAACTCCTCATAAGCCAGCCTGAACTAACCCATTTATCAACAAGTATAAAGTTACCTGAGAGTTACTGTGGCTGTGTGTTCTTCAGGGCTTAAAATTACATCTGCTCAAGCAGACAAAAAGAGACTATAGGCTCTTGGAGGGCAGGTATCTGATGAACTTCCACTGCACACACAGTGGAGTAGATAGTACTTATTTATTGAATAGAGTGCAGTTGAATTCAGTGTCTAGCCATTCTTTTGTTGTATGCCCATTACATACCAGGTACCATTCTAAGGTCTTGATATAACACTGAATGCACAGATAAATTGCTACTCACTGGTTTACATTGTAGTAAGAGAAGTCCGATTATAAACAAATGTTTAACTCGATTCTGGAACCTAGAAGCTCTCAGTATCCCTTATGATGTGAGAGAAACGAAGAATGAGAGATGGTCCCCTATGGCCTCATTCATGGCCTTTGCTCTGGTCTGGTGAACTCTAACTGAGGAGGGATCTAGAGGAAACTAGCTAAGTGTTTTCCTTTGAGCTGTTCCTGAGTCTGGTTTCTTTTCCCAGACACTGGCTATTTGGGCATAATGAGTCTCAAACACTGACAGAGCAGGATCTAGAGGACTGTTATGATAGTCTCTAGGTTCCAATCTGGCCTTCAGAGAGCAAGGGGTCATGCAAGAGAGCAACCTGAGCAAAGGGAGCTCAGTCTATGGTCTTCATTGCCCCTTTGTTTTTGCAGGACTTCCTCACGGTGGTTCCTCATTGTTTTAAGGGATGGTTGGGTAAAAATTACCCTGCATCCGTGTTTGCATGCGGGCTGGGGTAGCGCAGGGGGAGGTTTCCCCTGTGAAGATTTTCTGCAAAGATTTTCATTCTGGGAGGAGGCTGGCTCACATTTTAGAGCAACCGCAATACAACTTTTCAGAAGTAGAGTGGTATTCATCTTCTTACGTTTTTATGCATTGTAGGAGGAAGAGAGAAGTTTCCCAGGGTCCTCACAGTCAGAGGTGAGCTGTACATGCTTTAAATGTGTCAGCATCCATTCTCAATTTGTAGCTAATGAAAGCTTTATCAAGAATTTGACACATACACTCTTATTTTTCAGATTATACAAGCCATTCAGAATTTAACTCGTCTCTTATACAGCCTTCAGGTAATGACCCTTCTCTAATCTTTGACCTTGTGAATGTTATCTCTTAATGAAATTCTCTCTGACGATTCCCAGACCTTAGAAATTAGGACATATGAGAGGTATTGAATGACCTTTAGAGAATGCCAATCCACCAAGTGGCGCCCAGCTGGCCAGAGGACTCGGACTTCATCACCTGGTTTTGCAATCATGAGGCAACACTTCTACTGAATTTTATGCCATTCTTCTCAGAAATCATAAAACAGTTCATATCTTTAAGAAATTGTGATGATTAACTATGCTCTGGCTTGATGATTACAATGAAACTCTTAGGTGAATGTCACATGACTTCAGATTTTCTGATGGAAACTTAAAATTCACACCTAGACTTTTTTTTGCACTTCCACATGAAGCCATAAGAGCTGTTAAATAATTCCTATGTTCTTCCATGTGTTGGTTTGTTCTTCCCTCAAAATTCATCAAGTATCTTCTCTGGGCTGAGGGCTGAGCTCACAAAAGCAAATAGACTGTTGGGTGACTTATTACCTTTCAGGGAAAACAGGATGAAAACATGGTACTTGCATTGAGGATTAGGGGCCTCAGGACCTCTTGGGTCCTACATAAGGAGCAGGCTCAATGCACACAACTCCTTAATTTGCTGATTTAAGAAAATGATGTTCTAAAAGCCATCCTTTATATTGGAAAAAAATTAGGAATTCAAGTATAAAGTGACTTGTGAATCTATCCTGAGAATTATGACTGCCATGTTGGAGTATATCACTCCAGTTTTTAGACTGTTTTGTATTACTTAGAAACAACTATTATTGTATAGCCTAATTTTTAGTGAATATGTAATTAATTCCAGTCTATGAAATTTACCCAATCCCTTATTTATGTGCAATTGTGTGCACACGTGTGTGCGTGTGCATGCTGGTCCTGCCTGAACTCAGGGCCTTGCCATTGCCTCTGAGCTTCTTTTGCTCAAGGCTAGTGCCATTTCTGGCTTTTTCTGAGTAGTCTATTGGAGAAAAGAGTCCCATGGACTTTTCTGCCCTGTCTGGCTTGGAACCATGACCTTCAGATCTCAGCTTCCTGAGTAGTTAGTATTACAGGTGTGAGCCGTCAGTGACTAACCATTTTGTATTGTTAATAGCATACATTTTGCACACATTTTGATAATATCTGGATATTTCCTTAGGATATCTTACTAGAATGATCTTTTTAAGGTTTTTATAAACATCACTAAGATAATTCAATTATCTTTCTATTTCACTCATCTCTAATTTGAATAAGGATCAAGATATCTGATTATTTTAATTTGTACTTCCTTGATTACTAGTGAGACTAAAGTTTTTCCTTCATGAATATACTATTCATTCATATTTCATATTTCATACCTTTTGAATGTGAAAAAGGAATTGAGTGTAAAGTTTTCACCAGAAAATGTAAAGTCATGTTGTATTTAATGTTTTCCTATTTATACCTCAAAGGTATCAAGACCTTTTTTCTTGTATTCTCCTGATCATGTGCCAGCTATTGCTCCAGAGCAACTAGAGCTTAATTGTCATTGTCATTGTACTACTACCACCTACTGTTAAAACTTTGGCTTATAGTGAAATATATGGCAATGCTAGTCTCCTCTTACCATTTTTCTCTTACAAATGCTTTTGGGTTTCTCCATCAAGATTCTTGTCTCCTACCAAAACCATGGGGAACCATACTGACACTTTTGCCACAATCTGTTTTGTTATCTACAAATCTGGGCCAGTCACCAGCTTGACAGCTTTCATGTCTAGGTACTAAATGTACATAAAAATGTCTCCTCAGTGGCTGTTGCTGACTGGCCAACTCTGTAAACTTTATCTTTTATTTTAATAATCTTTTCATTGATTACTTGGGATCTTTCCAGGTAGAATTTTTTTTAAATTGAAAATAATGGTACTAATGTAACAATTCCATTTTCTTGGCTTATTGCTTTGGCTAGAACAACTGAAATTGTGCTGATTAATAGTGGTGATAATAAACACTCCATCTTGGTCATAGTTAGGTGTGAATATCCTCCTTATTATATCACACATGCTGATCTGAGATGGATGCTCTTAGAGATTAGTTTATCCTATAAAACAAATAAACTTTATTTTAGATATCAACTGAGAAGGGGTATGATTTGAATATAAAAATGTATAGTTCTCTATACTAAGTTTAAATATAAATAAGTGTGGAAATGAAAATCCAATCTTCAGTTTCCACTTCTGTGGTAGGGAAGAGAATGGTCATATCTTAAATATTAGGTAGACATAGTGAATTATTCATAGCCACAATGAGTTATTTTAATTGTAATCATTACAGGAAAGTTATTGGCCATAGCAGTTTTAGCATGTGAAATATTGGATTTTTATTTGTTTTGCAACACTGATGTCCTTGGGATTAAGCGTGCAGTCTGTAATTCTTTCTGCCAGGCCAGCAAATTCCTGAGTGCTTCATTAGCTAGTATGTGGTGATTATTTTATATGTCAAGAGCACAGTAATTAGTACCTATTCTCACTAAATATCATTTTTATTATATTAACAACTCCTAAAAGCCATTAACTAAATATTTAAATGAGTTTGGATCTTTAAAATTAATTTGCAAACTTTTAGATGTAGATTTTATTTCAAAAGGCCTCAATAAATACATTTTGAGTCTTATTCCAAAGCAACTATAAATATAAACTATATCTTAGTTCTTTAACTTTCAAAAATATAGGAAACTGATGATTTAACAACTAATCCCTGTCCGCCCAACATTTGTTACATGGACAGTTGAAAAAATTCATAGGAAGGAAAAATGTGAATTTATCCCTAGGAGAGGAATGATTTCTTATACTGAGTCAAAACATACACACATACCCAGTATTCGTCCATTTTCAATTTGTCCCTTCTGTATTTCTTTGTACTTTAAATGGGGACTTTTAAAATTAAAAGCTTTCAAGAGCATTCACAGAGATTTGGCGGGGGGGGGGGGGGGGGGGGAGGCATAGTGGCATCTTTCCAAATTTTGGCAGTTATTTCCTGTGATATTGCCAAACTTTTAATAGGCAGATACTGTAACTCAAAATGTTTTTTTAATCTGTTTGGTAATGTCCTCTGGGATTTAGAGTATCTATTTTCCCTTAATCATTCCAGCCTCCTGCTAGCAATCTATTAAACAAATGAATTTCAGCTTACTTTTGATGCATGACCTTCCTGCTATAACACAAAGACATTAACAGTAAAGAGAGGAGCTTTACCCACTTATAGATCTACAAAAAGTGTGGTATTAACTGATATTCTCTAGCATTATGTTATAAAAATTTAGTTTCCAGCTGACTTATTTTTATGTCCTTATGAAAGCAACATGTATAGGTCCAAGTAATTTCTCATTTGGGATTCAAATAAAGGATACTACCAAGTTTATATAGAATCTTAAATTACCTAGAATTACTGACTGAGAGACCTCAGAAAGAGAATAAGATCTAGATGCATCTATACTTTGATCTAAAATAGGGACAGATATGTTGCGGGGCTCTGTGGTTTATGCCTATAATCAGTCCTAGCTATTTAGGAAGCTGAGAGCTGAGGATTGTGGGTTGAAACCAGACTGCACAGATAAATTTCCAATTAAGCAGCAAAAAGTGGCAAGTGGAGGTGTGATTCAAGTGGTAGAGTATCAGCCTTAAGTGAAAGAGCTAAATGACTGCACCTAGGCCCAGAATTCAAGACTCTGTAAATAGATGTACTAAATTCTTACTCAGAAGACATATTTTAATACTATCCGACAACTATCGACCAATCATGTGTTTAAGAAAAGGGAGAGGGGAGATTACAATTCGTTCTTTATAGCTATGCATCCTCAGATTCTACCAGCCTTGGGTAGAAAATATGACTAAGGGGATTCCAGAAAGTTCCAAAAAAGCAAAACTTGAGTTTACTTCTAGCTTACTCATTCCTAAGTATTCCAATGAGTCTAGGTAAATGGAGTGATGTATAGGTATTGTATTAGATATTCTGAGTCATCTACAGATAATTATAGTATATGAGAGGGCATGCAAATATTAGTCCCTTTAAAATAAAGGACTCCGATGTCCAGAGACTTGAGTCCCCAGGCAGAGGGCTGGAACCAAGGATGATTCTGTGCTTCATTCCTTCTTTCTGTCTAGACTTCTGTATCACAACACTAGGAAGTGTAGACAATTCTTTTTGAAATATCAAAAGTTGTGAATCCAAAGATTTGAAAAAGGGGCAGAATATGGAGGGAAACACAGTTCAGTAAACCATTCTGCAAGGGCAGTTCCAACTTCCCTTCTCAGTGACAGATCACCCAAGACAGTTTGAAGCAGGGAAAAGTTCGCTTGGGTCTTGATTTCAGAGGTTTCAGGCCATGCTCACTTGATCCCTGGCTGTGGGCCTGGGGCAAGGCAGAACTTCATTGGAGGAAGTGGGGGAAGGGCAGAACTATGTACCACATGGTGCTGAATGAGGAGCTGTAATCCTAGCTACTCTGGGAAGCCCATGAGACTCTTAGCTCCAATCAACTACTTAGAAAAAGCTGGAAATGGTGCTGTGGCTCAAGTGGTAGAATGCTAGCCTTGAGCATAAAGAAGCTGGGGGAAAGTATCTAGTTTCTGAGTTAAAACCCCAGGACAGAGTGGAGGGTGGGTGGAGAGGGGGAGAGGGAAAGGGGTGGTGTGGTGTATGGGGGGAGAGGAAGGAGAGGGAGAGGGAGACCTGGAGAGGGAGACAGGAAGAGGGAGAAAGAGGAAGAGAAAAAGAGGAAAGGGGTCACCTTCAAGGGCATGACTCCAGTGAGCACCCACTAGGCCCCACCTGCTAAGCTTTCTGTGCACACTAAATTTGAGATTGGCTGGTGGTTGGTGCATAGTGTTAAAATATGCCTTCTGGGTAAGAACTTAGTGTATCAATTTACAAGACATCACGTTCCTGTTCTAGGTCTCATTCTCCCCAGTAAGATTCTACATAAACCAAGACATAACCCATGGCCTTGGTGGTGGTGGGGTTCAGATCCAGATCAAAGTACAAGCTTGGATTTACTCACTTGCCCTCTTCATCCCTCTCCCTCCTTACCCCTCCCAGGCTGCCTTGACCATCCAGGACAGCCACATCGAGATCCACAAGTTGGTTCTGCGGGAGCAGGAGAGCCTGGCCCCTGGCCACCTGTTCCGAGGTGGTTCCCTGCAGGACCAGGAGAAATCTCGCAACCTGGAGAAGCAGCGCGAAGAGCTGGCCAACTTCTACACGCTGCAAGGGCAGTTCCAGCAGGAGCAGCGGCGCTGGCACCGCACCTGTGACCAGCAGCAGCGGGAGCAGGAGGCCAAGGAGAGCTGGCTGCAGGAGCGGGAACGGGAATGCCAGTCCCAGGAGGAGCTGCTGCAGAGGAGCCGCGGAGAGCTGGACCATCAGCTGCAGGAGTACCAGCAGAGCCTGGAGCAGCTGCGCCAGGGCCAGCGGCTGGTGGAGCGGGAGCGGGAGCGGATGCGCATCCAGCATGGCCTGCTGGGCCACTGCAAGCACAGCCGGCAGAGAAGCCTTCCAGCGGCCTTCCCTCTGGGAAGCAAGGAGGTAGGGTTTTCTGCAGTAGGACTTGCTGTTCCACCAAGCCAAGCTAAGCCAAGCCAGGCACTCCTGCGTGGAACCAGATAGCCGTTTCTGATGCTAGTGTGCGAGGGCATGAGGAGTGTCTCAGTTTGTAGGTGGCAAAGGAGCTCTCAGAGGAGATGCGTCTGCATTTTGATCTAAAATAGGGACAGACATGTTGCAGGGCTCTATGGCTTATGCCTGTAATCAGTTCTAGCTATGTAGGAGGCTGAGAGTTGAGGGTTGAAGTCAGTCTGGACAGGTAAATTTCCAATTAAGCAGCCAAAAGTGGCAAGTGGAGGTGTGGTTCAAGTGGTAGAGTATCAGCCTTAAGTGAAAAAGCTGAGTGACTGCACCTAGGCCCAGAACTCAAGACCTGGTACTAGCATGCACACACACACACACACACACACACACACACACACACACATGCACACACGCACAACAACAACAACAATTAAAAAATTCTAGAAAACTTTAAAGTCTAAAGGTCCTATTGGGTCAGAGATACTTTTGACTAAGTAAGGAACACAGAGTCAGTAAGGAAGGGGGAAGGTTGTTCTTAGAGATCCTTTACTATGAATCCATTATTTTCCTTGTATTTAAAGGACAGTATATTCTTTTTAAAAATCCGTTTTTTAAAAATTAGCATCCATTAGCTATCTAAGGGGCTTTCTTTTAACATGCCTATTCATGCAAACAATGCATCTTGATACACAGTCTATACTTACATGATGGAATAAGAACATCCTATTGTATTCTATGATACAGGTACCTTTTGGTAGATCAATGAACTATTAATGTGTTAAGTACCAAATTGAGCAAATATAAAATTATCCTGCTGAGGTTATTCTTTGTGAAGGCAATTGTAAATTTCAAATTCATTTCACTGTTAGTTAACATGACTTTTTATTAATTAATGACTGTGTAATTAATCTAGAATCTTTCAGAACATTCTAGTTTCCTCTGTGTCCTCTAGCTATGCTTGGCAATTCCATTTGTCTCCATTTTTCTGCATGGTGTGCATCACATGTGTGCTGTTTATTGAGAGTGTAAAAGTTAATAAGCTTACGAGGAAAGCTATGTTGCATCTGATTTTTCTTTTAAGTTCTCTAAGTTACATTTACTGCAAACTTCTCATGTACATGTGGATATATTTTCAACTTTTTTATTTAACAAAAGTGGAAATACTGCTTGTTTTGATTAAAACAAAGCAGAAACACTTTAATAGCATACAACACCATTGCTTTTTTTTTTTTTTAAAGGTATGTGGGGAATTGAATTTTGGGGTTCTAATTTGTGTTAAAAGGGGGTGGAAAGAGAGAGTAGGTGGTAAAATTCCACTTGGCCTCATTATTACTAAAATCTTTATTATGAGGTCAGGGGTTTTCAGGCCTGTGGGAGAAATACATTTGAAATTTGTTAAGGTAGTGGGAGAAAATATTGTCCTTTTTCCAACTTGTTTTCAATTTTAATTGTCTTTTAAGTTGTACAGAGGGGTTCCATTCAGTGTGTCAGGTTTTGTGTATAATGTGGAGTGATCAATGTCAGTCCTTGTGTCATTCTCCCCCATCTCTCCCAGCCCCACCCATCCCCTCAATTTACCTGGTTCCATTTCCACATGTGCACGTTGAACGTTATGACTGCATCTGCCCAATCTTTCTCTGTATTTCTCTACACAGGTAGTGGACCTTAATCGATCTGAGAGTTTGTGTCATGAAAGTTCATTCTTCATCAATGAAGCTTTAGTGCAAGTGTCACTTAACAGTTTGAATAAACCGAATCCATCAGGTGTCCATGAGGATGCCACTCACCCCTTCAGTAAACTTCATTCTGATTTGGCAAGGACTAGTGACAATCAAGTAGACCTGAAGACAGACGTTTCTCAGCTTTCAGATGTCAACCATATATTGTGGACAGCCGCTGGACCCTGTCACCAGATACTTCCTCTCCAAGAAAGCAACAAGGATTCCTATAGCAATGGTAATGAACGCTTCACCCATCCTCAGTATGGCTCAAACAAGAAGTTGTTTCTCTGAGTGGTGGGCTCTTTGGTAGAATGAGTCAAACTGTGCCCTAGAATGAGAGTAAATTAGTCCCCAGGAAGATGAACCAGGGCTACGGCAAAAACTTCTCTTTGGGGATAGTCAGGGACTCACTTCACTTCTAATTAAGCTATGGTTATAAGACTTAGGGATTGTGACCATCGCACTTTAAAGAACCACCAGGGTTTTCAGACCTGTAAACTACATGATGTCCTCTTAAAAGTGAAACAGCTTGGTATTTATTTCCTCACTGTGAGCTCTCCCTATAGCCTGATCCATTTCATCATTGGCTCTTTGAAAGAAGAAGTATGGACAGGATTTGTGGTCAGACCTTATCATCTATCATGGCAAGTTCCTATGATGTTAGTGAAATCTTCTGTATGGCTATTAAACACCCAGAAAATGAAACAGTTAACATCATTTGTCATTGTAAAAAAAAGAGAGAGAGAAAAGGTGTTGTTTCTCTATAAGTACCTCGTAATAACACGATTTGCTAATCCCATTAAAGCATTTGTCAAATATAAAGGAAGGGATGCTCAGGTTTCCAGCTCCACATGAATCCAAATGATTTAAATCTATGTCCATTATAAATTGTTTTCTATGGGACATGAGGTAGGGAATGAGAAGAACTTGAAACCTCTCTACTGAAGAACAGATGGTATGCAATAGAATAAACAAATGGCTGGCCACATGGACGTGAAGTAAATCACTGACAGTAATATGTTTCAGAAATATAAAACAAGCAGTAGTATAAAGATCTTTAGAACTGGACACAGATTTATGTCGGTGCTTCAGATATATTCTTAGTTTGTCAGTTGGGAGGATAATTTTTCCACAATACAAAGTTTTGAAGGTATTTGGCTTCTTCCAATTAGGGTGTATAATAGTCTGACATAGCTTGTAAGTTGATTTATTGAAGATACTGAAGATGTTGACTCTCACTAGTGGCTAATTCTTTATACCACTAGTCACTGGTATAACTTTTGGCATCTAAAAAGAATGGGATAGTTGTTAAAAGTAATTTCAAATGTTTTTTAGATAAAAAGGAAAAGTGCAATAACAATATTGGGATTTAAAAGAAATAAAAGGTGAGTTGGGCACCAGAAGATCATGTCTGTAATCCTGGCTACCAAAATAGCTGAAATCTGGGGGTCACTGTTCAAAGCCAGCTCCACCAGAAACGTTTGTGAGACTTCTATCTCCAATTAATCACCAAAAAGCTGAAAGTGGAGGTGTGACTCAATTGTTAGGATGCCAGCCTTGAGCATCAATAAAAAGAAGGGACAGTACCCAGGCCCTGAGTTCCAGTCCTAATATGCACACACCTCCCACAAATTAAATATAAATTAAAAAGTAAAAGATTAGGTAAGATTTAGAAAATACTCCTCTTTGAAAATATTATCTTTCAATTTAATGTTGCAGAGAGCACATTTCAAAATGCTTTTTCTGGGCACATGTTGCTTTGCTCTGTTGATTCATGAACTTGCTATTTGCAGTGCTTTCTGGGTTTTTGTCAGTGTGGTTTTGCATTCTGGCTTTGGTATAATTCAAAAACTCAGTTTGAGTTAAACCACATTGGGCTTTTGTTTAAATGAAGTATGTCTCTTTTCTTTTTTTTGTGTATCTGCCATCTTTTCCTATTGCCTTGTGCTTCAAAGTAGAAAGCTTTTAAACATTTGGCAGCTTACATGCGGTAAGTAGATAAAAAAAAATGTACTAAGGAAATAAACAGTGATTATATATAAAATCATTGTATCCACATGTAAAGAGTTGGGTGGAGCCAAGAGAAATGCAAAGAAAATGGACTTTGTGCTTAAGAAATTCTGTGTCCTATAGGCCAAGGCCACTCAGGACATTGACCTAGGCAAGGAAAATTGACTTTGGCCTAAATCTCTTTGAAACATTCTGGTGTGGATAAGTAGGGATTAGATGAGAAATGCTGTGTGCTCTGTTAAACACTGGAGGTTTGCAAGTAGGTAGAAATCCTATTTATGTTTGTTTACTTAAGCATGGTAAGAAATTTCTGGAGGAGAGAAAAGAATGTCGGAGAGTATAGCCAGGGATAGGGAAGTAGAATGAAAATGTCATGCATTTTCTTCAGAGGTGGTCAGGGAAGATAAAAATGTTTAAACAATTGTGGAGCTTTCTGTTCTTATCTTCTGCTGTTGGTGGGGGTCTTATCTAGGCTCTGTGTTCTGCACCAAGCTACAGGAGGGGAAGTCAAGGCCGAGTAGAGGGGTTTGCTCTTTGACATTTTGTGACTGAGTCTTTAAATCATTATCAGTGATTACTGCTGAGGGTGTCCGTGGCTCAAAATATTCTCCCTACAATGTTTGCCTATAGTGTTCTAGACTGGTATATTACATTTTTGATTTATTTATAAGGCCTTGTGCTTCCTAGGCAAGTGCTCTACCACTTGAACTTGTTCGTTCCCATTCTCAGGCTGGTATTATTTTGTTTTAATATTATTAAGTGTGCATTTAGACGTGATTTGTTTTTTTGTTTTTTTTTTTTTTTTTTTTGCTTATGTGGTGCTGGGGAATCGAACCCAGGGCCTCATGCATGCAAGGCAAGCGCTCTACCACTGAGCCACCTTCCCAAGCCCTAGACATGATTAATAAAGCAGAAATCTTTCATTGTTGGGCATAAGGTGAGCAGCTTCAGGCCATGCCTGATGAAATGGTTTTGCTTTCTTGTCTGTTCTAGTTCTGTGCATATGGACCCAACTCAGGTCAGTGGAATGTGAATTTCTGGAACAGGAAGATGGATGGAAACAATTATATGTACTTGAAATGCATGAATGTGTTTAGAAGTCACCTAGATTAGATTTTCGCTAGGGTTTTTCAAACTAACCTTGCTATTTTGTGCATTCTTTGTGATCTAACTGGTTCATTTTGTTATAGCACTGCCAGTACCATGAGTAACTATATGACATGTCAGACTGCAGTCATGTACTAACACCGTACGTGGAGAAACTCGCTTAGTACTATAACTCACTGATATGGTCTCATTTTCTGTTTGCTTGTTTTATGCTGGTACAGGAACATGAGGGGCTTGCTTAAGGGCCTGGGGACAGTTCCTTAGTTTTTATACCCACAGCTGGTGTCCTACCACTTGAGCTTCACCTCCACTTACAGTTTTTTAGTGGCTAGAGATAAGAATCTAAGAGTCTTTCCTGTCTGAGCTGGTTCTGAACTGTGACCATCATATCTCAGCCTCCCACGTAGCTAGGATTACAGGCATGAGCCCCTAATACCTGGCTGTGGTTTCTGTTTTTATCTCCCAGAAGAGAAAACTGGGATCCAAAAAGTTTAGACAATTTGTTCAAGGCCTCACAGCTAGTGAGTGAAAGAACTAGGTATTGAACCCTGGGGGACTGACTCTGGACCTCATTCTCTCCAATCACTGCATTAAAAATTAAGTTATTCCTAAGAGCTATGTTAAGCTGTATCTTTTTAACAGAAGTTGGAGAATAAGCCATTGTTTAATGCCTGGCAGTATGTTCATGATTAAGGGCCAGGGTTTTGTTTTTGTTTATTCACCCCCACAACTTCCCTTTTTAATATTACCATTTGGAAACTATTTCTAAATGTTTTGGATTTCTGTGGCCAGCTCTCACATGGGGCTTGAGCATCTTCTGATACCCAATCCTTTAGCTTCTCTTTGTCCCCACCAGGGACATTTTCTTAAGGATATTTTGTTTCTCTAATGTAATGTCTAATAATAACCCCATCTTATTTATAAATATTTTTTAAGGTAGCACTTAAAAATTTTACTTTGAGCTGGATACAATAGTTCACATCTATAATCCTTGCTCTTCAGGAGGCTGGGATTGGGAAGTTCCTCATTTGAGGTCAGCCTAGGCAAAATGGTCAGGAGCCTACAAGCTGGATGCAATGGTATTTGCCTGTGATTCTGCTGCATGGGAAGAATAAATAGTAAGAATGTGATCTAGGATGGCCTGGGAAAAAAGCAAGACACTATTTGAAAAGTAACTAAAGCAAGAAAGGATAGGGCATGGCTGATGTGGTCGAGCACCTGCCTCACAAGCATGAGGACCAGAGTTCAAATCCTATGCCACCACAAAAAGGTGGTTTACTTTCTAGTTTTAGAAGTTATTTCATGAACAAAATTATTTCATGTTTAACTAGTAAATCCCAGTTAGTATTTGATTTATTAATAATGGAAGAGATGGTTGATTTAGGACTTTTTCCTCCCCTCTTCTGAACTCTCTCTCTCTCTTTCTTTCTCTCTCTCTCTCTCTCTCTCTCTCACACACACACACACACAGAAACACACATACACACATTGAATCTTAAGCAATAAAATCTCTGAGGTAAAATTTGCTATGTAATTGGCCCTATGGAATATTAAATTCTATTGTTAAAAAATGCAAAACCATTTTATTCTGTGACTCTTGTCTCCTTGCTTTAAAATTTCTCAAACTAAATATTGAATACATCTACGAGTTTGTTATTTGCCTTTTCCAATAAATAAATATTTTACAGTATGTAAATATTAAATCTTCTTAGTCTCCTTTCAGATATTGCATATTTTTGTCCACATTTTAGTAATATGCTTGCAGATTTGCCTAAAAAATTTTCTTCAATATAGTGAAGGTATTATTTTTATTTTTTCTATGCATTCTACAAACATTGGTTGAGCCAAAATTTTTATAGCAAGCATGAAGATGTGGAGAAATATAGGAACTATATTGTTAGGGTTCTAAAGAAACATTTGGTGCCTAGCAAAATATTATTTAAAATTCAAATCATTGTCTTTAGAATATCTTGTCTTGGTAATTTTTTAAAAAATAAATATTGACAGTTGTGTTAAACTTTCAATAACACTATTCTTTTTACATAGAAAATTTCCATACAAAAATCGATACTATAGTTAATATTTAAATAAAAGTCTTGAAGAAGTAAGAATATGGTC